CTACACAAACCTACCAGACTGGGTTGAGCTCGGCCAAGAGCCAGACCCAAGCCTCCGCGTTGAAGATATAAAGCCAGATACATCCGCCACCCAGGCTTCTCTTACCGCCGGTGCTCGTCTTGATAAAGCCCTAAAAGAGCACCAGAGCACTTCTACCTCGGCCCGGAACAGGAACGGTGTACCTGTGCCTGCCGACCCCGCTGGGAAAAAGACACTGGACCAGTGGCTACAAGAAGAGTCTGAGGAAGAAACCGAGACGGAATCTGAGACGGACTCGGAGGGTGAGACGGATTCTGAGGATGAGGAGTCCGGCTCAGAGGAGGAGTCTGAGGAGGATGAGGATGAGGATGATGATGATGATGATTCCGAAGAAGAAACCGATTCTGAAAGTGAGGCTGTTCATAAAGAGTCTCGGCAGTTGCTTGGATGATCTATGCCAATCTAGGATATGTCTATATTCTAGTTCGGCCAGGTTAAGGTGATCATGTAGAACATCGGAGATATTGAATGAGACTTATGGGATAATAGCCAGCACAGGAAGTTGAGAGAATGTGCACTATGATGTAAGAAGATGATTTGAAGCACGTATAGACACTAGAAAAATCAATTGCTTGGCCTTGTCACAAAAAGGCATGTACTTCGGGCTAAAAATCTCAATTTATAAGGGACCAGAGACCAGTCTCAGCTCATTAATCTATACTGTATTGTATAAGTATGAAGATAAACGCTCGAATGCCTACTTCTTCAAGTAGAAATCAAGACCTCTGGTGATAAGCGTGTGAATTTCGGAGGAGATGGGATTTATCACAAAGTCCCATCCTTAAGTGGCAGTCGTTCGGGTGCCCACTTCTCGAAATCCCTGCAAGGCAAGCCTGATTCAAACATGGCGTCAACCTCAAGCGTTGTACGATCTTTCATCTCGGGGATAATCAACCAGGTGACAACAAACGTGAGCAAACACAAGCCAGCGTAGACGAAACCAGTCTTGCCCTTGAGATCGCCTGCATCTGTGTTGTAAACGTAAGGAAGAACGAGATTGAAAACGACATTTGACAGCATGTAGCATAGAACACCAATACCTTGGGTTTTTGCGCGGAGACGGAGGGATGATGTTTCTCCTGAGACTGCATATGAAGCAGGCCATGCTCCAAGTCCACAGACTACTACCACGGCCATCATACAGGCAGCAGTATACCTTTTGGATACATGAGTTAGAGATGATAGTATGACTGGATGGAAAACATACCAAATGACAATGTTGCCCGACCAGCATCCAGCAATTCCCATGCTCAGCCAGATGACAGTGGTGACAGCCAAAGTGCTCAACATCAAGCGACGTCTTCCAACGCGACTCATAAGCCAGACACCAATCGCATTTGCGATAAGACCCAGAACAATGCCCAAGATGAGCACAATGAGACTGAGGCTTGATCCCATTCCAACGACTTGCATAAAATAGCTGGCACTGGCCAACAGAGGCACTCCGAAAAAACTGGGGACAACAAAAGAGAAAGCCACAATCATCGTCCGGCGCAGGTTCGTCCCTTTTAAACAATCGACATAAGCCAATTCCTGCGACATTTGCACTTCGTGCGTAATAGACAAACGCATCTGGGCGAGAAGTCGAGAGACGTCAACTCTGTCAGTATGAAACCACGCCAGCGCGCGGTGAGCAGCGTCATATTTCCCCTTCCTGATCAAATATGACGGACTCTCCGGCAGGATGCAAACAAGCATGAAGGGCAAGATAGTAGTAATCCATTGCGTCCCAAAAGGAATAAGATAGGCCGCCGCCGATACCTTCTTCTCACAACCATATATGACGGCCGCACCCAGCAGTTCTCCGAGTAGCATGAAAGTCGGCGACAGCGCCATCGCCGAGCCTCGCAAGCTGGTTGGTACAGTCTCAGAGAGGTAAGTCTGAGCACCAGCCATGGCACCACCAACTCCCCACCCCTGCACCGTCCTACCGACGAGGAAGGCACCGCGACGAGAGTTCATTTCGCTGGGCAGGTTGGAGCAGAAGGCGATGGCAATGCCGGCTGCGCAGACTACGCAGCTTAGTGCTAGTGACCAACGACGGCCGATGCGATCTTGAAACCACCCGGCATTGACAGCACCGACCATTGACCCAACGGGTCCAATGGCGCTCCATACCGATAGCCATGTTGCTGGGATGATGTATGAGCCATTGTAAAATTCGCCGAATTCTTGTTTGAAATATGGAACTGCAGTGATAGTGCCGAGGATTACGGTATCGTAGCCGGTCAGGAGGAATGCTAATGCAAGGCCGAATGCACACGCGACAATCTTGGGGTAGAGACGGACTGCTTGGAGCAGAGGTATGTTATCGGGGGAATATTCGTCGGTAGCGGGGATATTGGTATGGGTTTGCTCCATCTCCTGGTCCCAGTCAGGTTCTGGGTGAGCCATTGTGAGCTAGAATATCTTTCAATATCTTTAAGGAGAGAGTGAAGACACAGACAGGAGTCTACATACTTATACTGACTCGGGCTACTTTGGACAAATCAGATTCTCCAGAGATAGGACCTCAGAATTTTAGGCCAATTCAGCGGGAGACATACGTAACTTCCAGCCAATATGAATGCACAGAGTATGCCCCGTCCTATCTTGGTTTGCTGTCTTCTGTCAAGAACGCGGGGGATAAACTCCCCAGAACGCCAAGCATCGGTTAGGGAGCCTCACTGCCGAAGCCACCAATCGCCTCTCGTCCCTCGTGGATCTCGCTACTTCTTACTGGCTACATCGGCTAGGCGGGATCCACTCCAAGTGTATAAACATCTTTGTTTTGACGAGATTAGTGCTGGTCGGAATCGAAATACTCTGCACTGGATTATCTACAAAACCGGACTGCCTTCCACAGAGCAGAGATAGTCACTTGCTTTTTCTTGCAGTCTCACCTGATATCCTGGATGCTTGATCCATTAGCGGTGTCGTCATTCTCCAACAACGCTCTACGCACACAACACAGTATAAGGTATACTACACAAAATGGACATCTCTCGAGTTATCAAGCCATGGAAGCTCCATCCTCAGCGGACATTAGTCTTTGTGAATGCAACGATCATCGACCCAGCTCAGGGCGAGCTGATCCACAATGCCACAGTCCGGATCTCGGATGGGAAGATCACCCAGATCGTCACCGATGGCTCAACTACAGCGACAGAAGATGTTCCAGGAGATAATGTCATTGATCTGACTGGAAAGTACCTATGCCCGGGCTTGATCGACTGCCACGTTCATATCGCAGTGGTCCCAGGCGAAGCCGATCTCCGTGCATACAAGGACATGACCGAGCGCATCAGCCTTCTCCGACAGCCACTCGTCCTCAAATCCATGCTGGAACGTGGCTTTACCTCAATCCGAGACTGCGGTGGCGCAAGTCTAGCAATTAAGGAAGCTGTTGAGGATGGAGTCTTCCCCGGACCTCGTCTCTTCATCGCTGGATATGCCCTCTCTCAGACTGGCGGGCATGGTGATATGCGCGGCTCTCACGATGCCCAGCTTTGCTGTGGAGGCTCGCTATCTGGAATTAGCAGGATCGTGGATGGTCCTGCAGAGTGCTATAAGTATGCCCGTGAGGAATTGCGCCAGGGAGCAGACTTTATCAAGATTATGGGAGGTGGAGGTGTTGCAAGTCCCACAGACCGCATAGAGCATGTCCAGTTTTCAGACGAGGAGATCAAGGCTATTGTCACTGTCTCGCGCAACGCTGGCACCTATGTCACGAGTCACAGCTATACACCGCAGGCAATTCAACAGGCTATCAAGCTTGGAGTCCGCGGCATTGAGCATGGAAACCTCATTGATCTTGAAACTGCAAATATGATGGCTGAGATGGACGTGTTCCTAACACCTACGCTTATTGCACATGTCATGTCCAAGCAGTTGAATTTCTTACCTCCTGATGGTGCTGCTAAGAACGACGAGGTCCTTGAGAAGGGGCTTAGGGCGATGAAGATAGCGGTTGAGGCTGGTGTGACTGTTTGCTTTGGTAGTGATCTTCTTGGTCCGATGCATTTTGCTCAGAGTAAGGAGTTCTCGGTCCGCAGTAAGGTCTTGACCCCTTTACAAATTCTGCGCAGTGCTACTGTCAATGCTGCTCGTTTGATTATGCAGGAGGATCGACTTGGTCAGATCCGGGAGGGATTTGCTGCTGATTTGTTGGTTTTGAATGAGAATCCGTTGGAGGATATCACCGTTTTGGATAGAGTGGAGGAGCACATGATGGGTGTGATTAAGGATGGGAGAGTTTCTACTTCGCGGTGGGAGGCTCTCAAGGTGGATGATTGAGTGTGCGGTGCAGATGTAAATTTCGTGCTCCTATACTTCTTGTATCTACTTCAGATATTCGACCGTTTTGCTGGCGATGTTATTTCCAGACTAAATGTGAAAGCTTTAGGTAATGTGGCTAAACATATATTTTCACAGCGCAACCGGGATTGAGTCGGAAACATTAAGATGTGCAGAGATGTGTTTCAAATGATCGTTCAAGTGACCTAAACCATTGGGCTATCAATTTGAGCTATAGAGAACTGAGAAACGGGGACATCGTCACTGAGAAACGAACTATTAACTTAGGACTGATGCATGGATATGCAACCTTAAAAGCCAGGCATGTATCACGTGCAAAGGCGGTGTAGTCATAACGAGCGGTCCAGTGTCCGAGCTCATCCCGCAGTTCGTGATGTAGTGCCTGGATCTTCAACACCACTCTTCCCTTACTGGAACGAGCATCGGCTTCGCAGTCAGGATGCCCGCAAACCTCACATAGCCATCAGTTTCATCACCTCTCTCATTTCCTCCCAACGTACCATATCTCACCCTCCTTTGGATTGGCTGTGATTTACCCGACCACATTGTTTGACGAACCAGGGCCAGCCTCAGGATACTCTCCTTTACTGTGATTTGGAATCTCCCGCACGGAGAAAGCAGCGTCGTTCTTTGGTACTGACGGCATTGTACCTACAATCCTCACAATGCCTGGGTTACCAAGTATGTCAATGACCCCGAGTTTTCGAGTTAGCGCTGGATTTGTGTACTGATAATGTTTGCTTGCAGCTAGTGTCGATCTCGACGAGTGTATCGCCCGCCTGTACCGGAAAGAACTGCTAGCCGAATCGGTAATCGAAGCCATATGCCTCAAAGCCAAGGAACTGTTGATGAAGGAGAGCAATGTGGTCCACATCGCTGCTCCAGTCACCGTGGTCGGTGATATCCATGGCCAATTCTTCGACATGATCGAGATTTTTAAGATTGGAGGATTCTGTCCGAATACAAACTACCTCTTCCTTGGTTAGTTCAACCTGAGACTGGGACTGGAAGTGGAAAGAGCCTTTGGGCGGAACCTCTTGGCCCACACTTCTTGGCATGGGTCATTGCTAATACGAAGCTATATACAGGCGATTATGTCGACCGCGGCCTGTTCAGTGTGGAGACAATTTCACTCCTGGTGTGCCTAAAACTACGATATCCCTCTCGAGTCCACCTCATCCGCGGCAATCACGAGTCTCGTGGAGTCACCCAATCTTATGGGTTTTATACCGAATGTGCACGCAAGTACGGCAACGCCAACGTCTGGCACTACTTCACCGACATGTTCGACTTCTTGACACTGAGTGTCGTGATTAATGACGAGATCTTCTGCGTACATGGCGGTCTTTCTCCCTCCATTCACTCCATCGATCAAATCAAGATTATAGACCGATTCCGCGAGATTCCACACGAAGGCCCCATGGCCGATCTCGTCTGGTCGGATCCAGATACAGAGCGTGATGAGTTTTCGCTCTCCCCCCGTGGTGCTGGATACACCTTCGGTGCACAGGTTGTCCGGAAGTTCCTGGAGGTCAATAGCATGTCGCATATCCTACGGGCACACCAGCTTTGCCAGGAAGGCTACCAGGTTCTCTACGATGACAAATTGAGTACGGTCTGGAGTGCTCCCAACTACTGCTACCGTTGCGGGAATCTAGCGAGTGTACTTGAAGTGAGTGACACAGGAGAGCGCTATTTCAATATATTCGACGCCGCGCCTGAGAACGATGTTCATCGGAATGAACAGCAGGCCCAGCAGACCAAGGACGGCCCGAGTCCAATTGTTGACTACTTTCTGTGATACCCATTGGTTTATGTTAATGTTTTGTTTGACCATACGATTTCTTTTTTTTTTTTCATTTCCTTTTTTCCCACTGGCACTAGACAGGAGTTCTGGATAAAGTTGTGCATTCACCAACAGCGAGTTTTGCTATTTGGCATCTGGACTGAACATATTTCACACCGAGGACCCTCAGCATGGCGCATAAAAAAATAGAACCGGGTACAAAGCATCGGGCCCGGCAAGGGCAGCTCTAACAAAGTTTTGTCAAAGAAAGAAGATCAACGCTTTGGAAACAAACAAGCCGCTCAAGAATTCAAGATAGCTCTCTCTCAACCCACATTTACCAGTCCTTGGCAATGTCAAAGGACCACTCGAACTGCAAGTGAGTGTGGGCATCATCGTCAATGAACTTGGAGACAGCGTTGTAGTGTCCACGGGCAATCATGCCTGAGGGGGCCTCCTCCTCGTTGACTGCAAGATAGAATCAGCAATGGTCCAAACCAACAGAAATCCACAAATGCGATAATAATCCACTTACACTCCTTCTCGTAAATAGGCTTGGTGGTGGTGCTGGGCGCGTAGCTACCCAACATCTCCTCATCCTTGCTAACTCGAATACCCTTCCGCTTAACAACCTGCAGGTACTTGAGACCACTCAGGACCTCATGGTGAACCTGGAAAGTAACCTTGATGTGGAACTTGGCGCCCTCCTTGATGGTGAAAGGCTTATCCTTGAGGCTGTCGACCGAGCCGGGGGTGGAGAGATCGATCACGACGTCGGGCCGGCCCTCGACTCTCAGAGCCAGGGACTTGATGATGCACTTGCGTGGGTCATTGGCCTCGTGAATGGGATCGCCGCCGTTGAGACCGAGCGAGGCTTTCCAGCGGTTCATGGCCTCATCGTCCTTGTCTATTGGCGGGGGAAGAATGAGGTGTTAGTTGGGGAAGATTCAGGACAGAGCATGGATGTAGCATAGTCAATGCTAATGCGAGCTATTAGAGGGGACCACTCACCGAGCTGGTTGTACTCGTCGATGGTCTTCTTCTCGCCGACCTTGAAACCCTCAGTCTGGGTGGCGGCGAGATCGTCGTCGTGGTTGTCGACCATTGTTTACAGATGGCGGGGCACGGAACCAAGGTATTGTAGTCCGGGGGAGACGAGATATGAAAGAATCCGAGATGAACGGACAAAGGACAAAGGGGGATTTAAGGAAAAGGGGAAAGGATGAGAGAGATAGATTTCAGAGAAGGAAACTAGAGACAAAGCGTCTCCTCTTTGGATGTCTGGTGGGGGTGGAAAGGCGGTGGGAGAGGGGCGAGGCTATTCGGATTTCGATGGGGATTGCAGATGCGCCGTTAGTCCTGCACGGTTATATTGACATTTGGTCTGCTCTACTTGATGCAGGCTATCTACTGATCTTGATTTCCTGGTGGAATTGTCATGTCTTGCAGTTTGCAGTTAACTTGAGACGATCTAGGCCCCGGTTTTGGGTATCCAGTGGGGTTCAGGAGTATCTGCCCACGTTATCTTAATATGCGACATGTATACGCATTTGGAGTCCAGTAGACTGAACCGAGACACTTCTGCAGGTTCGGCATGAAAAGGTCAGACTGTTGTTAGTCTAGCTTTGCCGTAAAATGGTATATCCTCGATATCAATATCGAGTAAACACTGGTCTCAGTCTCAGATACGAGGATGTACGCGTCGACGCCTTGTTTCAGATAACGCCATTGAGTGGGCTGTATGAAATCGAAGACCAAAGACTGTCCTAACCTGGGAATTGGCGACAGTGTTAAGAAGCAAGTGTCTACTTCGACAAACAAAGGAATGCTAGGTCACGGGGCCAAATAGCCAATAGATTACTGCTGGGGAGACCAAATACCGTATAATTGAGTGATTGACCAACCACAACCCCCAAATACCCCACCTGACCGGCGCCACACCGGACCTTACCGGAACGAGTCAAGCCTCAGAACGGACGCAACTCCCGTCGCGACTTCTCTCTTTCTCCCCTGATTTGTCTCGCTTTATCTCGGGTCTCTTTTTTTTCCGTTATCAATTGGCTTCTTTTTTCTCCTTTTGGCGCGCTTCTCTTTGAATTTTGACCAAATCGGACAATACGGGTTCTAATTCTCGCTTGACGCGCCTGCTACGTGGCCGCCGTTGGCGCATCTTTCCCTCTTTCTCTCAGCCACGAGATCTTCATCTCCCATCTCCCCATATCCCACCATGTCGCGAACTTTGCCGAAGAAGTTTAACCCGCTCATCCTCACGGAGGTGGCTCCTTCTTGTAAGTTCCAGTCTGGCGCGTGGCCGTGATCGCGCATGCGCTTCGGCTGCTCACCTAGTGTTCCCTCGAGGCTGACCGAGACATCATCGCTAATCGCTTCATATGTTAGATGAGGAGCTTCTCGCGCGCCGCCGTCTGGGAAAAACACACCTCTCTGTGAGGCCTGCCCAGATCGGTACCTCAAATGCCACTAAGCCTGAGAACCTGGGCGTTTTCGAATACGCTCACCTGCGCGCTCCTCTGCCCAAAGACTTGAAGGGCTCGGAGATTTTCCCATCCCACACCTCTCAGCAGCATCCTGAGACGTACTTCCTGATGGTGAGCGCATCTTCATACGACTTGAGGCGTGAATGCCGCTAACTGGCCTGGTTACAGCGTCGCAGCAAGGATGGGTTCGTCAGCGCAACTGGAATGTTCAAGATCGCATTCCCCTGGGCCAAGGCCGATGAGGAGAAGGTTGAGCGCGACTATCTGAAGGCCCGGGAGTACACCAGCGAGGAGGAAGTCGCTGGCAACGTGTGGATCTCTCCCGCGTTTGGTAGGTTATCCCAGGTTGCCCTATCGACCACACAAGTTCTGACTTGATTACCCAGCCCTTGAGCTATCCAAGGAATACAAGATGTACGATTGGGTACGCGCTCTCTTGGACCCCACCGATATCGTCCAGAGCCCCTCCAGTGCAAAGAAGCAGATCACTCCCCCGCCCAAGTTCGAGATCCCAGAAGACGAGCCGGAAATGCCTCAGCGCCGTCGCGGCCGCTCCGCCTCTCCCAGCAAGCAGTCCCCTCGCAAGTCCCGCACAACTCGCGTTGGAAAGGATGTCATGGGCACCCCGTCTACAAATGCTGCCAACGCTAGCCTCCACTCCGCACTGGAGATTACAGCCGGTAATATGGACACTGAAACAGTTCCTGAGCTGGCACCTGTGCGAGGCGAGACACAAGTGAAGTCCACCGGATCCCCAGAGAAGAAGTCAAGGAGCCGGAAGACCAAGAGTGCTACCACCGCAGAGCCTGAGGACGAGGCCAAGGAGGAGGAGGAGGAGACAAACGAAGAGACCAAGGAAGAGAAGAAGGAAAAGAAGAAGGCCGAAAAGAAGACTGAAAAGAAGATCGAGAAGAAGAATGAGGTGAAGGGCAAGGAAGAGAAGGCGGTTCCTTCAGTGGAAGCTGATGCCCCAGAAGATGTCAAGACTTCCCAGACCACTGTCTCTCTTGATATGCCCATCAGCCTCCCTGAAGTCCCGTCCGCTGCTGAGACGGAAGCAATGATCGCCCAGGCCAAGGGCATGGTCGAAGACGCCATCAAGGCCCAGGCCGGCGGTGCCACCGAGTCGGAATCCGTTAAGGTGACCAAGAAGCGCAAGCCCGAGGAAGACGATGAGGAGACCTCAGCCGAGTCCACCCAGCGGGCCAAGAAAGCCAAGGTGCTTGAGAACAAGCTCCGAGAGGAGCGGGTCCGCAACCGCTCCATCTTTGGTGTTTCCGTGGCCTTTGCTCTTGCGTAAGTCAACCCAGTCCTTGAAAAACAAGTTGATACTAACCTGATGTACAGTGCGTCAATTCCCTACTTCCTTTGAGCATAATCTGTGTTTTCCCCTCCAACAGTCTGATCGAAACCTCCATCCCCATCCCCTCTACTCTGTCGCATGCGACCTTCGGACTTCCCCATTTCCTTTCTTACCCAATTCCCCTTGACATTACGATAAATATATTCCTCGCCGGCGACTTTCAGTGTACTGTACCCGTCATTTGACACTTTTCTCTAATATCTTGCCTCTCTGCCCCTGCTTTCTTCAAGACTTGATTATGGGGACAATCCCTAAGCACATCCATTTACCTTCCCATCCCCTGATACCAGATGCACCTTGCCCACCCTCTACCACTCGCCCGCGGGCAGCTACCCGCGCGTAGTCAAGAACGATTCGCTTAATGACAGTGAGATTTCTTTGATGCTACTTGTATTGGGACTTTTGTAGATGCTACTGTAAATTTAGATCGTGGGCTGTAGGACCGCTGCTGACGGGAGAAAACATTTTGCACGGATAAGGGCGCTCGTACAGTGTCATGGCACAGGAAGGTTGACAGGCAAGGAGGGACACATGTGCTTACATGTGCTTGACCGCGAGTGCTACCAGATGTACAGTGTTGAGTCAAAACTCAACGATCGTGACATGTGATGTCCGTCACAAAACATAACTGACGCGTCAAACGGTGACAACAAGATCAAGGCTTCATCGACAAGGGCAGAGGGTCAGTCAAGGCTGAGCTTCATAGGCAAGACGTGGCATGGATATGGACATCGACATGGACGGGATGTCGTAGGTAACAGAAGATGAACAACTTCTTCTCCAAACGGTTGGACAAGCCGACACAGTTGATGAAAAAGGATTCGCGTCGATCGAGGGTAGTGTAAGCCCGATGACACAGTGCAACGAGGCATGCGCAAGCACAGAGGCCAAGTTGCGGGATCCAAAAATGAGAATAATCAAAGTGTTTCCAAGAGGAAACTTTCAGAGATTAAACTGAAAAGAACAGATACTACACTTGATCTAAGCCAATAGGCAAAGAGAGCTAAAGAAGAAAGAAAAAGAGAGAGAAAGCTGGGGGAGAGGAGGGTATATATAGTCCAGGCCCAGTGCAAACGGGACAAACATTGTAGTCAGTGCAAAGAATGCAAACAACCACATCTCCCAAGCTCCTGATTCTCTTTTACTCTTTGCTCTCCAATCTTTCGATTGCTGTGTTTATTGCTTGGTCTCTCTCCTGGCTACAATGTCTCTTCCAGGCCTCGAGCTGACACAGCCGTCGGAGGAGAGGCAGCAGGTTACTGCGCCTCCGTCGCAGATCACCTTGAATCCCAACTGCGAATGGCGCTTTGAGGTCGCTTTCGGACATATCATTAAGGTCAAGGTATGTGATGTCATTTCCATTCGATAGCAGAAAGTGTAATTCTCCTCTGGGTCTAGCTAACCAAGCTCCAGCTCCTCCACGGAACCGCCGAGCTCTTTGGCACGGAGCTCGCCGAGTCGCAAACATATACCTTCTCCGGAACAAAGGCCGCAATCTTCACATGGCACGGCTGCACCTTAGAAGTCAGCGCAGCCGAAACAGCGTCAACAACGTCAGATGGTGTAACACCAACAATGGGCCATGGCGCAGGCGGCTGCCAGAGCGAATACACAGCAGAGGAAACGCCCATGATGGAATATGCCAATGTCCACTTTGCGCTGGAGACAATGCGCGAGGAAGCACAGTCAATCGGCAAAGACGGTCCCCGCGTGCTCCTCCTGGGCCCAGAGAACGCCGGAAAAACCAGTGTGGCGAAGATCTTGACGGCGTATGCGACCAAGGTCGGTCGTCAGCCGCTTGTGGTCAACCTCGATCCGACAGAGGGCATGCTCGGCGTCCCTGGTACCCTCACCGCGACTGCGTTCCGCACAATCCTGGATGTCGAAGATGGCTGGGGAAGTAGTCCCATGTCCGGTCCCAGTCCGGTGCCTGTGAAGCTGCCCCTCGTGTACAGCTACCCGCTGCAGAACCCGCTAGACGGTGAGGGTGCCGTCTACCGACCGATCGTGTCGCGCCTTGCTCTATCTGTCACGGGCCGGATGGCCGAAGATGAAGATGCGCGCGAAACGGGAATTATCGTCGACACGCCTGGAATCCTGGGATCGGATAAGCCTGGCAGCATGGAGCTGATCAACCATATCGTGACGGAATTTGCAATCGACACTATCCTCGTTCTGGGTTCGGAGAGGCTGTACAGCACTGTCGCCAAGCAATACGATAATAAGCCCAGTTCCAGCGCGACGGCTGCTGCATTCGACGAACACATCTCCGTTGTTAAGTTGACCAAATCTGGTGGCTGTGCTGACCGTGACGCTGCCTTCCGTAAGGCCACGCGCGAGTCCCAGATTCGTACTTATTTCTTCGGCAACAATATCCCTTCTTCTACATCTGCATCGACTGCGCTCTCTCTTTCCGCTTCTTCCTCTTCTGCTGTTACTCTCTCCCCGCATGCGCAGCAACTCGATTTCGCTTCTCTCCCTGTTTACAGCTACACCGTTACCTCAATCGACGATGAGGATGAAGACGACTACGACCCCTCCCAGCTCGCAATGGGTGACTCTTTTCTCCCCGGTGGTGGCGCCGAGGACCTCCAAGAAACAAAGCAAGACCCTGACCGCGCTGCCCCATTACCGGGTGTCGTGGGCTCATTCTCTGAACCCTCTGGTGGGACGAATGCTTCCACCGCCGCTCAAAACAGCGGCAGCAATGTCCCACTGAAGAAAGTCCTACCACCAGCTCCCTCCGCGCTCGCGAATACCCTCCTCGCCATCACCCATGCTCCCACCACCGCATCCCCCGCCGAAGTCCGCGACGCTAGCATCATGGGCTTCTTATATGTTGCCGATGTCGACGCTGACAAGGGCAAGATCCGTGTACTTGCGCCTGTTGGCGGGAGAATGCCTCCGCGTGCTATTATCTGGGCGAAGCGTTGGCCTGGGGAGTTAGTTGGGTTGGTCGGTTAGGGGGGCTTACTTTCTCATTTCTTTCTCTTTGCCTTATCCGAGTCTTACGCGGCTCAGTCATTGCATCTTTTGTTCGGATCTGGAGTTGCGGCGATTTATTTCATTTAACGAGAGTCACGCTGTGCGCCTCATGATTCCATATCCTTGCATCTATCTATAAATACATCTATGATTCTTGTATGGAATTACTACCTCTTTGCTTGTAATTTACATGTGAACAACTTGAACATCGTAGATACTGAAGAGTAGAAGTGGTCTGTTTCTCCACGTAATACAACAGCCTGGGTACGTATCGCCGTGAACCCTTGTCGTGGAGCCGGCTATGCTGACAGGGAGAATCGGAGTAGGGCTTGGGTTTGGAGTGTCGGGAGATGCCGAAGCCCTAACCTGGGCAACATACATGTACTAGAGGGCTGAATCTGAGGTGGCCGGACAGCTCTATACTCTGCCTATTGGGGCTTATTATGTGGTGGAGCAACGCAAAAATTAGGGCTTTATATCGATCCTAGGCCTTGAAGTTACGATTACAATGAATATGATTAAAATGATGAACCAATCCGATTTCAAGCTATAACCAAGGTAAGAAGACACCAGCCAATCCGACACACAATGACGTTTCGCAGACAAAAGTACGATCAGGATACAAGAATGTTTCAACGTTGTTACAAACCGAAGACCCCCATTGTACAGCCAAACGCTCAAGTATACATCCAATGCAATGCAGCCCTATCCGATACATTCCCGAAATAATCCAGCCCCTCCAAAACAAAAGAAAAGTAAAAGAGAAAGAAAGAAAGAAAGCAAAGTAAGGTAAACCCCAAAGCATCACAATCAACATCACTCCCACCTTTTCCACTCATCAACAGCCTTCCTCAACTCAATCTCACAATCATACCCCTTAGACTGCGCCTTCAAAAGCTCCTCTCTCCGATCCCGGAACCGCCTCTCAGCCTCAACCCGCCTAAGAACAGCAGACTTAAGCATCTCGAAGTCATTGGTAGCAACTGCCTCCCGGAACTTCGCCCGCATGCGCATGGAATAAAGCTGACAACTTGCCTCCTGCTTGACACCAGTCCCATCACCAGGCAAGGCCCGCCTAGTAGGCGGAATGGAGCGCGCAATCGGCCGCTGGTGTCTCGCAAACGGCCATACAACCTCATCGAAACAGTCTTCGCAGATACACAGCTCCGGCAACGCGGGGAGGTAGTGCCACTTCGTGACGATTTGTCTGTCGAGACGGCAGTCACGGAGGGCGGTCTTGCGCCGGGCGTAGGAGAGGAACTCGTGCAGGTCTGGACGGGGACGGGAGGGGTTTGCTTCTGCGCGCTCGACGGCATCGTCGAGGAGGTCGATGAATTTCATGAAACGTGGGCTTGTGGTTTGGAAGTCGCAGATTCGTTCCCGGACGTCGGTGTCTGGTTCGAGGGTTTCGCGGTGCGCTGGCATTAGGATGCGGATGTTTCGTGCGCAGCTGGTGCAGACGTGGAAGCCTGGGAGGTAGTCTTTGATTCGGGGGTCGTAGATTCGGTGCCAGTGTTGCTCGGTGGCTGTGCGGCCTGGGCAGGGTCTCGTTCCCGGTGGTGGGCGCGTCATTTGGTAGAGGAGTTCTAGACTGTCGTGGCCGCGTTTGATCATTTGGTGCCAGGCGAGTCGGATCCATGGGCTTGAGAATGAGCAGCGGGTTGGGCGGGACGGCGTCTTGGCTTGGCTTGGAATGAAGAAGTTGCTGTAGCGGGAGTGTGCGATTTGGCTCATGCATGATGGGCAGATGTCGAGGTGGTCGAGGCCTTTGAGGGTGTACCAGTCTTCATGGCCTGTTGCCGGGACGGATCGTGGGCATGATGTGATACACAGGCCGTTGGGGTTGCTTCTTTGTCCAAATTGAGTGAGAGCCTTCTCAGAGTTGGCCTGTACTGTCACAGCTTGGGTTGATGCTGGCTTTGTTGTCTCAAGTTCAGCGCGTAGCAGCCGTGGGGGATGGCGAGATTCAGAAGACGATCGGGTACTCTGCGTGGTCACTGATGTTGCGCGGGGGCGCGAGGGCAGAGGCACACCAGGCTGGGTTCCCAGGGTCTCCGGACGCTGAGGCGACCGGGAAGGCGAGTGCGATGCTGAGACAGTGGCTCGAGGGACCAACGAGGCCCTCGGGGGCCTGAAAACCACAGCCGGTGTGTTTACTTCGGGGTCTGCTAGTGCAACCCGGTCCCGCTGTTCTTCTCGTTGACGAAGCTTCTCCTCGATGCGCTCAGCTAGAGTTGGGCCGCTAGTGACCTTTTCGGCTGGCACGATGGGAGTTGGGGATACAGGCGCCTGAGAGTTTGGCGAGACTCTGCTGCGCATGGTGGCAGAATCAGATAGATACCCGGAATTTGGCTCACGTCGAATGCGCTCTGGCATAGGTCTTGAGTGAGGTCCAGCCCGAGCACTGTTCGACCGAGCCAACGACGACCTGGCAGGTTGAACGTAGGCAATGTCGTGCACGGGAACTGAGGCACGAGAGCGATCCGGCACACTCGGTGCGGGCGCGACATAAGAAACAACTTGCGCTGGCACATCGTGCCTGCTGTAGCTGCCTTCAGGTGCATGAGAACGGGGGCGACACTCTCGTTGGGAGTTTATTTCACGAACAGGCTGTTGCTGAGCCTGAGGGTGAAATACAACCTGCACAGGCACCTCGGGCCTGCTGGGGGCGCTTTCCCGTGTACGAGAATGCGGGAGCGATTCTTGCTGGGTCCTTGGCTCACGAGTGGGCCGTTGATTAACCTGAGATCGGGCTGGTGGTCCTCGTGGTTGGCTAACGGTGGATGGCGGCGCACGCTTTTGCTGCTCATCCGACTCAAACCTGACAGTGTTCCGAATGACAGGCTCTTGCGCGGGTGGCGTTTTTGGCCCTGTACTCTCATCGGAAGAGACATTCGCAAGGCTAGGCACACTGGGAACGCTGCCAGGGGAGGTTAATGGAGGAGGTAGATCAGCATAATCTATGATCGGATACTGGTCGACAGCGCCTCTTTGCTTGACACCCTCGACCCCCGGCTTCTCTCCAATCTCGGAGAGGCCACCCTTTTCTCGAAGGAGAGCCGAAATCTCTTCCTCGACGCAGGGCGCCGGGGGCCATTGGGAGCGTCCATGTCGAGAAACTCGAGAGGGACGCATTTCGAGGAGCTAATATGATCACGAACAAAATGTTTGGAATATACTTGTTTCGGGACGTTATCCTGGTGCAATGAGGTTCCGTAGAGAAGCGTGATGAGCAGTTTGGTTCATAGTATTAAGAAACTGTACTTGAAAAGTGAAAGAGCAGGGCGAAGAACAATGAGGCCAAGGTATGAAAGAGAAAGAAATTTCACAAGAAGACAAAGGAGCAACTTTTAAATTGTGTGCGCGACCCGGGTATACAAGGGTATATAAACATTGGCTGATTGTATCGGGCATCATCCTGGGCGGCGCGAACTCTGATAGGCCAGGCGAGTGATTGGGCGAGAGAAAAAGACCAGGAATAGCTTCAGGCTGAAGCGTAATCACGAGGAAGATTCAAACATCGACTAAACAAAACGGCTGAGTGGCCAGGTTCAACACAAAGAAGTGGCTATGACCCGTCGATCATTGGGCACGAAGTAGACCTGCCGGCTACTGCCGTTGCGTTTCACTTTATTTAGACTCGTTGGGCAACAAATAAAAATCTCTGAGCCCACTTTTTTTCAGGGGGTTGGAGAGATCGATGGTCGATCAAAGGCTCGCGTCTCAAGTGTATGGCGGGGAACTTGTCTTCCATGAAGTCGGCGCCAGCTGAGGCGAAGGATGTTCCAACCATCAACCATGCGCGTGATGCAGATGCAGAACCTGGTGCTGGGCGTGGCAGGCCAACATGCTCGAGGCATGGAACGTGGCAGACTGACCCCTCATAGGGCTTGAATGGTTTGCATGTCACTTTGACATGGAGTATATGAGGCCGAAACGCCAGTGCGGCGGTAGATCTAGTAGGTAAATGTCAAGCCACTAGGCATTCCGTGCATGGCCCCTCATTGAGGGGTTGAAACTGGTGGATGCCCGTCAACCTTGAGGTTGACGTATTCTGACTCCTATTGTTTTGTTAGACGCCTGTCTGTTGTCTGTTGTCTGCACATCGGTGTTGTTCCGATGGCCCAGGATCCGACGGATATGTCGTCATCACGTGCGTCATTAGCCAAAGCCATTGAGATGAATGCTGAGCCCAGGAATTGAGGCAGTAGGGCTACAGTAAATAGCCGACAGCATTGTAAGTGTAATTGCGTGAGATCAACGTAGCAGTAGCAAATGGAAACAGAAGAAAGGAAAAAGAAAGGCGCAACAATTCCGCCGGTAATGCGGGGGGATAAGATGACAAATGGAGATTGATCAGCTTCATCCTCAACTTCTACAACTCCTGGCATGTTTCGCTCTCTTCTGCGCAGCAGTCCCCAGCTCACACTTTTACGCAATCACATTGCTCCCCTCAATCAATTCGCTCCAATCCGCGCCATGTCTGTCCCAGCAACAATGAAGGCCGTAGTGGTCGAGCAGACCGGCGGCCCTGAAGTACTGCAATTCAGAACCGCACACCCAGTGCCAATTCCCCAGGCAGGCCAGCTACTTGTGCGCAACAACATCTCCGGTGTGAACTACATCGACACCTACTTCCGGACGGGTCTGTACCCCTCGCCCAAGCCTGAGGTCCTGGGCCGGGAGGGCGCTGGTGTCGTCGCCGCTGTGGGACCCGAGACCTCCGGGTTCCAGGTTGGTGATCGTGTTGCTTGGCTGGCTAGTCAGGGCTATGCTGAGTATACTGCTGTCCCTGCTGCCAAGACGGTGAAGATCCCTGAGGGGATCAGCGATGAGGATGTTATGGCCTCATTCTTGAGTGGCTTGACTGTGCTCGCTTTTGCTAAGGAGGCATACCCTGTCCAGAAGGGTGATTGGGTTCTGCTTCATGCTGCTGCTGGCGGTGCTGGTTTCTTGATGACGCAGATTTTGAAGACTATGGGCGCCAAGGTCATCGGCACTGCTGGTGGTGCGGAGAAGTGTGCTCTTGTGAAGAGCCTCGGTGCTGATGTGGTCATTGACTATCGCAGTGAGGAGGGTAAGGACTGGGTGAAGTTGGTCAAGGAGGCGACTGGTGGTCGTGGCGTCGACGTCGTCTACGACTCTGTTGGCAAGGATACCTGGGAGGGTAGCTTGGAGGCTGTCAAGCGCAAGGGTACTATCATTTGGTTTGGTAATGCCAGCGGGCCTGTGCCACCACTCCCTCTTCCGTATGATTTCTTCTCAGTATACTCGTGGCCGATGATGCTAATAATTTTGACAGTAAACTCTCCCCCAAGTGTGTTAAAGTCGCCCGTCCAACTCTCTTCGGATACATTGAGACCCGTGAAGAGTTCGAGTACTACACCAATGAGCTGTTCAGTCTGTTGAAGTCCGGCCAGCTGAAGACTAAGATCCATAAAATTTATCCTCTGGAGGAGATTGCGCAGGTGCACAAGGTACGTAATCTGACTTTTCCCTGTTCAAGTGCAGCCACCGCTAACCTGCCTGCTTCATAGGATCTCGAGGGACGCAAGACCATGGGCAAGCCTCTTTTGAAGCCTTGAATTATTATGTAAAAGAAATATCACTAGCCGTTACGTCGGAGATATAACGGTAGAATACATATACCTATTACTCAAAATTTGCTTGATGACCACATATATAATCTCGTGAAACCGCGCTTATTATCGCGAGAATACTTCAAGAGTATACTAGGTCTGTTTATATACTTTGAAAAGGCAAGGTATAACTAACTTATCAGCCATTTCTGGCATTCAAAACTACCTGATGGTATAAAGAAAGAAATTAAATTAGAAGTCAAACTGTTTTCTATCTAGAATTCTAAGATGATAGACCATAACTTCCATCTGCTCTTGTTCTCAACCCAGCTCTGGTTCCGGCTCTTCGTGTTTCCATGTTGCAGCAACTTAGGTCTACCTGTCTAATTATCCGATCCGTTTTCACCCTCCTTACCCTTCTCTGGGATGACATTCTTCTCGACGACGATGGTTTCCTCGTTCGGGGCTTCGACCAGGATGCTAGGTCCCTGTAAGTTGTTGTTTCTCTTCTCAACATCCAGTATGTGCAAGTTCTCCTCCATCAGGCGGACCTTTGCGAACTTCAGCCACTTGGTATATGAAGCTGTGTCCTTCTCACTGAGGATTGTATCCTTCGTCTCAGCTTCCTTTCGCCGGATAAGCTCCTCATTCACATCGAGATTTTCCTTCAACTTGACGAGAATATTCTCTTTCTTGCCAGGGCGTTCCTCGGCGGGTGTCATGCTGGGTTTCCAGTCCTTCACAAGACCGTACCACTCCTCATCGGCCCACCATTGCTCGGGCGTCCACCATTCCTTGGGCTTCTTCTTGTCAGTAGGTTCCCCCTGAACGACTCCACTTCCCTCAACGTCATTCTTCTCAATCACCTGGTCTTCGTCTTTCTTTTGGCCCTCATATCTTGGAACTATGATACCCATATCAGCCTCCGCCGGGACACCAGGCTGAAGAATAACGTCGTATTCAAAGCCCAAGTCGTCATCAGCGGGAATATGCTTCCGAATACCAAATGCTGCGCCGTAATCTGCACCCAGCGTCAAGTCCTTCAACAAGACCCGAGCTTGTTCACGATCAGAAAGCTTGGGCCCAGCAAGGGCCTCCATTTCTTTCCTATGCTCAGCCCTCTGGACAATCCACTTATCACTGGCCTCCTTGGTTTTCGGTTTCTTGTAGTCGATCATAAGATCGTTCACAAGGAAAACGTAGAAACTAGGCAGGCAAACCATGATCTCGTCGAAGAAGTGTATGCCACAGTTAAGTTCGAATACTTTGGTAAGAGCTTTCATTCCTGGGAAGCAGTGTGCAAGCAAATCGCCTTCCAAGAAGAATTCAAACTCGTAGCTAGGAGCTTTACCAGCCTTCCACTTCTCCTCCTCTAGGTTGGAAAGATTGAAACCCCCCTTGGCAGGATCACGGAACTCCTTTGCCCGGACCACGCCGACGGGTTCGACGTCAGGGGCATATTCATTGTAAAAGCCCACAGTGAGGGCAGTTGGCTGCTCAATGGAAACGATCTCAAAGCCATCAATGTCCTCAATCCGCTTTATCTCGAATTTCTCCTTCTCGGCAAGATCTTTGAACTTGATGGCGCGTTCATCTGGACCGACTCCGGCAATGGCGTACATGAGGACCTTTCGGGCGATCTTCTCGGTCATTCCGTCCTGCCCGGCGAATTTGACATTTTTCGATATCTCGGGATCGTCTATGGTGTCGAGGTAGTTCCCACCGAACAGCATGGAACAGGCCTTGTTGAAGCTTCCTGGGCCTTCGTGTACGACTTGGCGTACTTTCCATACTTCCTTGGCGGCCATATCACAGGTCTGTCTGGCCTTGTCGATGTCGTCTTGATATTCGGGGCAGACATCATGGTAGAGCAAGAAGGTGAGGAAGTTCTTGATTGTTCCAGTCACGACCTTGATTTCATCCTCGTCGTCAGGGCTGAAGTAATCAATGTAGTAACCACCCCTGTAGCAGAGTTAGTATTTAGTATGCTCGTCTCTTATGCATTCTATCACTTACAGATAGCCCTTGAGAACTTTATCAAAAGCGATGTTCTCTCCAGAAGCCCACTCCGGCGACACCATGGTGAAGTTGCGCGCTTCCATGGCTTCTTCTTTGCTCATATCTTTCAGCTCCTGAAGGGAGACACCTTGGCCATACTTTTGATTTGTGTTAACACCACCGTACTGCAGATACTTGAGGAAAAGGTGACGCCGGCGTGACTCGAGGCGGCGTTTGAATAGGAAACGTTTGATAGCTTCATCGTATCGCCTAGATGCTATGTTAGTGATTAGTTGGATCAAGATATTTGAAGTCATACATGTGAAATGGAAGAGCCCTATCTTCATGTTTAGTGATATTCCATAAATCGAGGGCCAATGTATATACTTACGGGTCATAGACCTTCTTTATTTCCTGGAACTCATCTGGTGTGAGCGGCGCATCAGCAAAAAAGGGTTCGAAGCCCGTGGGCGCATCCTATCGATTTGTTAGCTAGGTATTATAAAAGGAAGCAATTAGTCAAACATACCATGCCTCTCTTGGCCTTTGATCGTCTCTTGTTCTTTTTTTTCTTGACCACACCGACGTCCAGTTCCATGTTGGCGAGAGCCCTTTCTTCGTCTGGGTTGGGCTTGACTCCGTATGGAAGATTTTCATTGTCCGAAAGGCCATCGGTCTTTTCGGTGGCCTTTTCTTTGTCTGAATCTTTAGTGCTGCGTTGAGGATCAGGATTGCCATCTTGTTCGGGGTTGGTAGGTCGATCTCCGGTGATCCAAACAGGCGCGGGCTTCTCTGAATCCTTTGCAAGTCCCTCAATCGCTTTGAAATCGTTGTTTTGAATGATGATGTCGTTCTGGTCAGTCAGGTCAGGCAGTTCATCAGGATCCATGATGCCAGTGTCGTCTGGCTTTGAGAGAGATTTCGTGGTAACGACCCGTTGATCAACGGCGTGATGTTTAATATCAATAGGGTTGGTGGTCTCTTCGTGCAATTGAGAGGCCTTCGTCTGAGTATGATCAGTAAAAGCTTTATCTGTAAGTCCACCAGCACTTTTCTGGTGCTGGGAGATGCCTGGTTCATTGGCACTGACCTCGTCGCCGCCAGTTTTCATAGTAGCAGTAGGGCTGGGTGACTGAGAAAGGATCTCCTGCTCACGAAAGCTGATAGATTTGGCAGGTCTGAAAGGCAAGTTGCCCGATATGGTTGATTTCAGGGGATCCATGTTGGATTCATCCATGATTGGCAGTGAAGTTGGTTGTAAGAAAGGTGGAATGGATGAAGAAAGATGGGAAAGGGATCGACTATCGACTATAAAAAGCCGGGGATATCTGGGGTAAGTAGGATAGGGAAATATTTAAAGCAAGACCCGGTTCTCTTGTTAGGAATTGTTTAGATGAAGCAATCAATAATGATCAAACGCCCTAGATGAATGCATATGAAATGCTACGGGCTTCAATGTTAAGACCTACTTTCAAAAATAGCCTAATTTAAGCCCTTACTTTTGAAGCAAATACAGGAAATATATGAATTTATACACAAGTCTGAGTGAAAGTGAAGTCAACCCCGTACCACCGTGCTCCGTATAGATCAGATCGGGCAGATAAGGCGGAGATAGACATCCCGCGTGTCAGCTCTCACCTTCAACCTCTCACTCTCCTTTTTTCTTCTTCTTATATCTTATGCTTTCTGTTCCGCAAAGATTCTTGTCGAATCACCTGGAATGCGTGAAAGCCCTAAAGACGTCGCATTAGCATTCCTGACATGCCATCCAAACCCGATACTCGAAAGACACCACAACTAGGTAGCGATGACCTGGTACCTTTTGACCATGTCGCTGCAGGACAGTAAGTTATATCCGGATGTATCCCGGCCTATATCTGCCCTGATCTGCCTGGCCACGCGACTTTCCCCAAAGTTTAGCGCATCTGGTCGCGCGGGGTTTGGTCTCCGCAGCAAAGTGGCGTCTTTTTCATATTTCCACTCATACTGACGACCTTCTTTTGTCTTCTAGTGACGGTGTTCGCTGCACAGTTTCCGGCGCCCTAATTGCGAAGCCATGCACAAAACAAGAAGTCGAGTTCTACGAGTCGAGTGCCCTCCACCCAGCGTTCCAGGAGTTCATGCCCCTCTACATTGGCTCGCTCTCGTCCGCTGAACAGCAGCAGCCTCTGGCAATTGCTGCTGCTAGAGATTCCGGAGCCCTTTTTCTTCCCCAGTCTGGCGATGCAGCCGTCGAATCCCCAAATCCGAGCGAGCCGCAGTCGCACACAGCCGCCGCGCAACAAATCCCTTCAGGCCCCGGTAAGGAGGACGCAGCATGGGTTCCCTCTGGTGGCAAGAAGCTAGATACTGGATTGTCGATCGTGTTAGAGAATGTTGCTTGTGGATTCCGTCGGCCAAACGTGCTCGACGTGAAGCTCGGCGCGCGACTATGGGCTGACGATGCGCCACCCGCGAAGCGGAACAAGCTTGACGTGGTGTCTAAAGAGACTACGAGTTCTAGCCTGGGCTTCCGCATTGCGGGAATGAAAATTTGGACTGGGGTGAATGGTGAGACCGATGAGGGCGAACGAACTAATCCATACGATACCAAATGCGAGGGTGCGGAGGGCGAAAAAGGCGAAGTTATTGAAAAAGACGGTTATCGACGATACGACAAATGGTATGGTCGCTCTTTCAACGAGGATAATGTCAAGCAAGGCTTCGAGACCTTCCTCGCTGGTGCAAAAGCGGGCAAAGTGGACCGGTCACAAATGGTCGCTCGGCGCCTAGCGGAAGAATTGAAAAATGTCCAGCAGGTCATTGAATCTGAAGAGAGTCGAATGTACTCTGCTAGTGTATTGGTGATCTATGAAGGAGATCCAGAGGCGATGGAGCTCGCAATTGAAGAAGAACAGAAAGTTACAGAACGCCGTTCTATGGAGGAAGAGGATGATGAGGACGAGGATGACCAGGAGTTTGAGGTCCCTGAAGAAGCCATGCAGCTTGTCGATGTCCACCTTGGCGACGGATTGCCTCAGCAGGCCATCAACATCAGCACTGATCCACAGACTATGCCTATGCCTATGCCAACCCTGGACGATGAGGATGAAGATGAAACTCCCAAGGTCCATGACCTCCGTCTGATTGACTTTGCACATGCCAATTGGACACCTGGCCAGGGCCCAGATGAGAATATTCTCAAGGGAATTCGCAGTCTGATTACCATCTTTGAGGGAATGGCAGAGTGATGCGCATAGCATGATTCAACGGTTGCGGGCAACCTTGAACTCAACAGTTGTTCAATCTCTTAGCCTGATTATTTTCCATTAGCTGAACCATATTCCCATTTGATTAGCCAATTCACTGTATTTCCATCTCTCAACTGTTCAAATCGCGAACATAGAAATGCTGACATAATCTCACCGCCGAGACTTCTCGATCTTCAACTTCGCGGAAATCAAAGCTACGGAAAACCTCTAGCCAAAATGTTCCCCACACGCGCCCTGCTAGGCCGGTCGGTCTGGAAAGGTGAGACTTCCTAGATCTGCAAGATCAATACTCCTCAGTAAAATCAAAAGAAACAGCCCGCTAACAACGCCACTAGGCCCAAACATCGTCCCGTACGTGACCTCCAATCCACCCCCAATGCAAACGAACCTTTACCCAGCATTGGATCATACCAAGGGGAACAAAAGATCCAATCCCAGAACCAAAAACTAACCCAATAATCCTCGACAGTATCGCTCTCCCGCGCACTCTCCCCCCTCCCCCGAACACACCCCCAATCCGCACCACGAAACGCGCAGCAACCATCCTCCCGAACTTCGTCGGTCTGCGGTTCGCCGTTCACAATGGCAAGACATACGTTGAGATCCAGGTGACGGAGGAGATGGTCGGTCGCAAGCTTGGGGAATATGTTGCGTATGTATACACCATTCTCGTTTAATGCCCGCTTCGGAGATTGTCTCAACATGGCTGGATGGAATATGAACAGCGTTGACTGACTTCTTTCTTTGGCGTTTAGTACCCGCAAGCGTTTCACATACAAGCAGTCTAAGAACAAATAGGCGGTTCGTTCGTTCGGTGCTTGGCGCAGATTCCATGCCCTCTTTTTTTGCATTCGTGGTGGGTGGACTGTGCTAGCAGAGCTGTGTTGCATTCTTTTCTTTTTACTTCGCCATACCATGTACAGTATATATTGTTGGATTACATGTGAAATTAGCTACACTTGGGACGGAGTTCACCAGTGGTTTTCTATATGGTTACAGTTTGTAGATATGTAGGGACCACGAGTCTGCTGCTCCAACTACAGACAGATTCTGTGTTGGGAATCCCTTGTAGAAGGCATCCGGCGTAACAAGGTATATGTGGACCTGGAGTATTGCTAGATGTGATATACTTATAACATAACATCATGGGATTTCACTAAGTTCGAATTGACATGGGATGGATAACCACCCAGCATAAATTGTATGGACAAAGCCCAAAGGGTAAAAAAAACAAGAAACTCCATTCTTCAATGTGAGCCGAGCCACCATCCGGACCAACAAATGCAGTCATGATCCCAGGGTCTCTCAAGACCAGTCCATACGCCGATGCACCATACCAGAAAAAAAAAGGAAACAGGAACGAAACGGAACAAGCATATAAGCCAGCTAAGAAGCACAAACAAACCCCATAAATAGCCCAAATAATGAGACTACCGATAGAACTCGCCACGCTTCACACTAACCCCATACTCAGAAACCGCCATGCCCAAATCCTCCATCGTGAGAACCGTGCGACCCTGCCCAGACCCACCAGAACCACCACCCCCAAAGCCAGGCCTCTGAATGCCCAGGTGAGTATTAGCCTTGTTACCCTTCCCGCCGTCACCGCCAGGAGCGGGCGCCCCGCCTGCACCGGCGGGGGCGTTCAAGCCCGATGCGGCGGCAAGACTGCCGATGGGGTTGTTGGCGGAGGAGCTGTTGGAGGCGCGGATGCGCGCGAATTGGTAGGAGTCGGCGGCGATATCTGAGACGAACTTTTGTGCTGCTAGGGCGAGGAGGCGGGCTAGGTGTGGTGGGGTTTGGCCCGGGCCTGTGCCTGGTGGTGGGAGGCCTGCTAGGGTGAGGTAGTGGGCTGTGACAGCATCGGGGATCTGAGGAAGAGGGGTTTGGGTTAGCGTAGTTCTCCAGTTGATTGTCACTTGTGTTTTATATCTCATATCTCAGAGGTCATGTGTCAGATCTCATAGCTCGTAGCTCATATCTCGTCTGATGGCTCGGATGGCAGACAACTCAGATGAGAGAAGCTAGACATGATATTGAGATTGGTCGACCGGAGCGGGTTGTCGTATGATCACACTTGGGGAGAAACAGAGAGGGGTGTTCATGGGATAAACTCACGATTGGAGCATAGTCGTCCATTTTGCCTAGGAACTCGCGCAAGCTCGTTTCCTTCTTCGAGGGCTGCGGCGCTGGTGCCATAGGGTCGATACTGGGCGCGGCTGTATCATCTGGATTAGCGCCAGGCTGGTTTTCGGTGTTCATGTCGACGTCTTGTTCGATTGATGCGTCGAGATCAGGGTCGGGTTTAATATTATCTTCAGTGACGGGAGCTGGGGTGAGGTGCTCTGATCCGGAGGGAGGTTGCGGTGTCTGAGAGTCGGCCATTTTAGGCAATCTGGTGTACCCCTGCTGTATATAATTTGTTTGTGAGACTGCAGGTGAACTATCAATGGGCCCAATCAATGGTGCCGATGGTTGCAATAGGGAGATTATTCGCAAGTCACACGGGTAGCGCACAGACCACTTCACCTACTTGGCAGTATAAGTTGTCTACTAACGTTACATCACTCTGTATACTTTATCTTGTGACAAATTTTATTCCTTGTGAATGTCGCTATGTATTCGTACAAAAGCAATCGCCACTCCAGCGCGATGTGCAATCCTATAGTAAAACAGATGGTTCCCGAAGAAACAAATCCCACAGTCCCATTCCTTGACTCCGAAAGCAAAGTGCAAATCCAGTATTCAGACAACTTTGGATGAAAAGCTAATAAACAAGAAACAAATGCCATGAGGGCAAAGAGAAAATAAGGATGACTACTGTCCAAGCTGCATGTGTGGATCAATGTGGTCCGAGTTCGGTTGATGCTGACCGTACTGGTTTCCGTGGACTTCTTGGCTGAGAGTCTGCATCAGGTTTTGCTCCGCCGTTTGATCAAACACAGACTGGCTGTTGGCATCTGGTGGAAGGCTGGGAGAGGCGGACATTTCATGGCCGGACACAGGGGTCCCATGAGCCCCGGCGAGCGCCATCATGCCCTTGATGCCCTCAACATGCGCCTTGTCTTCCTCGCCCTGCTTCTTCTGCCGCTCACGAGCTTCACGCTTGGCTGCCTGGGCGGGGGCGCGGGTCTTCAGTTCACCGGTGACAAACTTCAGGTAGTAAGGAACCTCGATTCCACTCTTCAGGAAGAAAAGCTTCAGGTTACGAGCCTTGTCCTTGAGCTGAACCTGATTACGGTCCTTCAAGGCCTCGCTGATGGTTCCACCAGGTCCAAACATCGCAAGTATCTGGCTCCAGTGAGGACCCTTGACGCGGTCCAAGCCGGCCATCAGTGCATTCTCTTCTTCGGTAGTCCAGGGTCTGCGTTGGCTAGGAAGGCCAGATTTGCGGCTGGTCGGGGAGGATTTCGCGGATGCGGCCATACGAGCACGTTCATAGAGGACTTGGGTGGGTTGTGACTGAGAGTAGTGAGGGATCCCAGACAGATAGCCATGGTTGGAAGACATGCCGTTTGCTCTGGCCTGCATGGCCTGCGCCGCGTTTGGGTTGTACTGCTGGAAGTTTGCCTGCAGCGGGCTTTGTTGGAAGGTCAGCGGTGAGGCTTGCTGCGCTTGATACCCGCCAGGTGGCGTAGGGCTGTGGTGATATTGTTGGTGCGTAGGCTGTACGGGTTGCTGAGCAGCGGTGTAACCTTGAAGGTATTGATGCTCGGGCTGACTCTGCGGTGGTGGCTGTTGCTGCTGGGTTTGAGAGTGATGAGGCATGGGTGACGGGCTGGCCTGAGATTGGGGCTGTTGGGGTTGGTGCTGCTGCTGCTGTTGCTGTTGAGGTTGTTGTGGTTGCTGCGGTTGCGACTGCGACTGCGACTGCGATTGTTGCTGGGACCGTCGAAGGCCATGACCCTGGAGGGCAATCTGCGCGGCTCGGGCAGCACGTGCGACGAGATCACCATGCATGTTTCGGTCGACTGGGACTTCAACTTGTTGGTTGAGTGCAAATTGGCCCTGGTGGGTGGTATTAGGTGATTCATGCGCGTCGCCATTCGAGCTTGAGGGTTGTCGTCCCTTGATGGTCTTCTTTCCCTATATTGTATTAGCTAAATGTTCGAACAAAACGAAAAGTATCACATACTTGTTGAGTGTTGATGGCATCAAAGTTCTTTGAGATGTAGGAACTGAGGTCCCGAAGGAAGTCTTCCCAGTGGTACTTGTCTGGCAAGGAGCTCAACGCTTCCTCGTTGTTGATGTCACTGAGAAGGATGTCACGGCGAGAGGTAAGACGGTTCACAAAATCCGTCTCGGAAGGTGCGAGCTGCCGGGTACCAGGACGTCTCGCTAGTAGTCGTTGCTCCATATCATCGGGGAAAATTGAATAGAGAAGCTCAGTACGGGTATGGGCTTTGTTGTTCATGGCGGCAATGAAGGCTTGTGTCTTGAGCTCAAGGTACAACGCACCTTGAACCTTCAGCAAGCGACCACCTTCAGGAACAAAGACGTCCAGGAAGTGCTCGTTCAATTCCGCGAACCCGATTTCCTGGGAGCCGAAAATACTCGAGACAAAGGAGGCCAGGTTCGCCTTGCGAATGACATCGATCTGGGAAGGGTCTGTAATTTCAAGATCCGAGGGCTGAAGGAAAGAGTGTTTGACCGTATAAACTCTCTTCGTATGATCAAACAGGGAGCGCATTGTAGCATACGCCTGGCCGTTCTCAGAATCCGGCTCGGAGACCATGGCAGTGAGGTCCTGGTAGGTGTTTTTGGAGAGGAAGGACAGGATTTGCGTAGACTATAGAAGGGAGACGTAAGTATGAGCGCAATAATGATTAACATGAGATTGGTTTCTACTAACCAGATTGTCCAGGATAGGAAGAGATTGGATCTTCAAGTGGGAGTTGGCTTTGAGAAAAGCAAAGCCTCTGGCGCCGGGAAACTCGTTGGACGGCGGGAGCTCCTGCGGACCCATGGCCACAGTTTGCTCCTGACGCTCAGTATGATCCATAATCTCGGAAATGATTGTAGCGACGTCGGGGTTGATTTCACCGTTGCCGTCGTGGGTCGTCGCAGCGCCGTTGGAGGTGTTGGAGGTGTCATGGGGACCGGGGTCAGTGACAGTATGGTCGGTCTGTTCAACGGTATCAATAACACCCTCCCCAAGCGCCGATGCCAATTCCTCTTCAATCTTGTGACCAGGGCCATGATGATCGGCCATCAAGATGGAGTCGCCAGGTAGTGAAAGCTCGCCGTCGGGGCCAGCGTCCGTGCGGCGCTTTTTGGCAGCCGGAGGTGAGCCATGCTCCTCATCTTCGAGTATATGAGGGGGTTTTTGGTCTGCAAAACAATTTCAAGCCAAGATTAGTATTCAATGCATTGAGGTTCATCGGCGCAAGTGGTAGCTATGGGCGGGTGGTCGAGGCTCACGAGGCACGGGACAATCGGAACAAGAGAAACCATACCAAGGTCGCCTTCCTCGGAAGGGAAGGGGGGAAAGTCTGGTGTATCCTGGCCATCAAAGGACGGCCGGGCGCCTCGAGTTTCAACCATCGGGAAAGACAGCTTGAAGTCGGGGTAACAACTTCCGAGAGCAGAAATGAGGGCTTAGGGGTAGGGCGCGTTTGTAGGGCTTTGGGAGGTGAGAGGACGAAGGGATTTTATGCCGGGCGGTGAACGCGGGGAGAAGAAATGTGGCGGTGAAGATTAACCGTTAGCAGCAATGAGGTATCTTTCTGTGGGGTCTCCATACAAAAGGTACTTACTTGACCCTTGAGGACTACGGAGAGTGAATATTCAGTTCATTGCGTTTATTACGTATAAAGGGCATATTACTTAGACAGGTCCTTTTCTAACCCTCTTTTTGACCTTTTTTGGGAAGTGCATATCAGATAATAGTAATTGCTATGCACTAACGTTATGGCTCTAATGAAGTGTTCCCATATATATAACATACCATGATCCCTTACAACCTACGCTTCTTTGGCTTGCTATGGAATCAGTCCAATGGATGAGAGCACCGATTACCCAATAGAGATATCCAGTTTCCCATATCCAGAACTTTCTTCGTCTCTATCTCTAGTCTCACTTGCGGACAACTTGTGCGCGTCATCGATCCTTAGCCCTAAAACGCATGCAACCTTGAGCTTCAACACTCTTAACTCTACCTGGGCTGTCAAAGCTCTCCACTTTACATTTTGAAACCAAGGTTCTCTTACATTACTTTTATATTGGTTGGTTAGCCTGGAATCCATTTCCATCCAAGAATGTCATCCAAGCCCAATCTTGGCACCTCAGAAGCAATGTCCACCCGAAGAAGCCGAAACTCTACACGGTTTTAAGCCTGAGCCTTGCGAATGTATTTCCGAAAACGGGTATATCCATCGTTCAGTCGTCTGATTCCCGCATATTCTTGTAGCTCTAAACGTTCACCCCTGGGTCTAGCCCGTGGATCTAGAAGATCCGTTTTCTTTATTACATGGTGCCCCCCTGGGTCGCTCTGTAGGTCATGTTTCAAGTCAGTTAAACTTGTGCAGTCAAGATCTACCGCCATGCTTAGCAAGGGTCTTCCTATCACCCTCCTGGTCTTGCAGGGACTGGCAATGGTGTCAGCCCAAAGCTATGGTGCCGAGAAAGTATGGGGAGTCTACGCATTCACCGTCTTTGGAGACAGTACACCGGGTGTCCTCACCGGTCCTCGCACCCTCACCGAGTACGGAGCCAGCGAAATGGCGGCAGCAGCAGCGGCCTTCCGGTATCGTTATGTATCGACGGCTGGGAATGGTGCCTCCAACACTGGCATTCAGAACATCTCGCCAAACATTCTGGACTCGAACGACGTGCATGTGCTTTCGACGACAGATCAGTACATCGTTGCTTCCGCTCAGGCGTTCATGCAGGGTCTCTATCCCCCTGTCGATATGAACACAACCAGCGCTCAACTGGCAAATGGGTCGTACGCACAGGCACCGCTCAAAGGATATCAGTATCCTGTAATTATAGCACTCGGCGAGTCGGATCCTGCGTCTTTCTATGTTGAGGGACAAGCAAATTGTGAAATGCATGGAGCCGCCGAGGCTGAATATCGCGACAGCGAGGAAGTGGATTTGATCACACTGGACACAGAGGCCTTTTATGTGAAACTCTGGAACTCAGCCCTGTCTGGCGTTTTTGAGGATGAACGCTCATCGACATATACAAACGCGGTGCCCATCGCCGATTATTTGGATTACGAGCTTGTGCACAATGAGTCTTTGACTAAAGTGCTCAACCAAGCCGACATCATCCGTGCACGCTCGCTGGCTGATAAGTTCCTATACGACACAAACAGTCAACAGGACTCCTCCAGTGGGTCTATTATCAGAGCTGTCAGTCCGATTGCGGGTAAGACGTTGGCAACGAGTATCATGGAAGCCTTTGATATGAACATTCAAGAAAATGGGTCTCAGCAGAAGATGACAATGCTGTTTGGCGGAGACGAGCCTGCTATGGCTCTATCATCTCTGTTAGGGCTTGCAAACCAGCACCAGACCAATTTCTTCTCTCGCCTTGTACGGGGTGGTTCGTTTGTCTTCGAGTTATATAGCTATGAAGAGGATGAGGAGTACCCGACGTACCCAGGAAGTGACAATCTCTATGTCCGATTCCTGCTGCACAATGGAACCGATGATACCACGCAGTTCCAGCCATATCCTCTATTTGGCCACAGCCCCAGTCACTCCTATATTCGATATAGTGAGTTCCGCGCTGAGCTGGAAACTTTTGCGCTATCCTCCATTCAGGAATGGTGCCTAGTGTGCAACTCTGCGTCTATATTCTGCACAGGAGTGTTGGGTACAGATGAATCTGAACCAGAGAAGAAAAGGAGTATGGCGCCTGCCGTGGCTGGCGTCATTGGTGCAGTTGTGACACTGGTTGTTGTTGGGCTTTTCACTGTCATCGGCTTTCTTTTGTGTGGTGTTCGCAGGCGTCGAGATAGCAAGCGAAGTTTGGGCGGGTTCAAAGGGACAGACAAGATGGCCAGTGATACGGACGTTGCTTTCCGTAGCCCTCTCTGGGGTGGTGCCAAGACCGAAAATCAAATCCAGGATGCCTCTGCTGGAGTTGTTGTTCAGGGACATGAACGGCTTGGGAGCTGGGAAATGGGTCAGCAAGGAAAAGAGGTTGACCACATTGGATCAGATGCTGCTGCAAGATCGCGGTTTGAAGACGCTGAAGAGGACTGGGGTTTGCACAGTCTTCCGCCGGCTAAAATCAGGGAAAGCGTATAGAGGTTTTCATTTAGGGCAAAAATGCCAATTCGTCGCCTCTCGCGTTCGAACCTCGTATCTCTTTGACACCTGCCTCGAAAGAATGTAAAGATGCATCTTTGTAAAGCGAAAGTTGAGGCTCACAACGTCCATGTTCGTGCCTGCTTCATCCCCGCACTTGCAAGACATCCATATCATCGATTTCTTTCGTTTCCATGATCCTATTAGGTACACGACCCCGGTACACTCCGCAAAATGAAGTATTCCATACCAATTTTGTTGGCGCTGAGGAGCCAAGACACAGAGGTTAACTGCAAGTGGACCAGCCAAGCAATCCATTGTGAGTCTCCTGTATCTTGATCTGAGATCACCCTCAAAAGACCTGCTGGCTCGGGGTCTAGCAGGCTTAGACCCCGAGCCTTGCCTGTCTCCCAAGAAGGGATGCTCTGTTCCAAGATGCGGGATCCGAGAAAAGACCCTTGATGGCCCCGACGCGGCCATTGAAGGACCACGCTAACAACAGACATAGGCAGATCAAAACCTCTCGATCGAAGCAAAAAGCCAGTTCTCTCTGAGAATCCCCAGAACCGTTCAAACAAAGGATCAGCAAAGCCACGACCGGGCAAAAAAGTGATATCGAAAGCCAAGTCCCAATCTCGTGCTGCCCAGGACATCAAGACATCAGGGCCAACTTTATCCACCACTGATACAGGATTTGCACAGTTTCTGCAGAAGCACACGTCACCTAAGCATCAGCGAGTCACAGCTGGAGGGAAAATCGTGCCAATGGCACTACCGAACCCCCGTCTGGAGGGCATTTCACCTGTGCTTATGGTCGTGATGGATGATGACCCTTCCGTTGTTGGGCGTGTCTTACTCGGTGATAAAGTGGTGGCTGGTCGACAGGCAGATAGGTCTGGAGATGGCCGAAGGAACTCCTTCTCTTCGGATGAGGATACTCTTCGTGTATATGGCGAGACATCTAGGTCGTTTTCGCGTTTGTACCCCGCCGACCCTCTCTATCTGGATCCACGTGTTCCTCCTCGGCATCCTCACAGTTCTATCACAGACGACGTGCCGCTTCAGCAGGTTCCAGGGACCTCAGTGTTTGTGCCGGATCCAAATCAGCCCTCTTTCATTCAGTTGGGTTTCAGTCTTGGTTCACGGTCCCGATTTGAGTGGTATGCCGATGACCGTGCTGAGAGATGGCTCGTATGGGCTTATGAAATCCAGGAAGAGGAGTTTGTGATGCAAGCATTTGTGAGAATGAGGAGTCTAGACAACTGGCCGGGGGTTGATTTCTATCGTCAGTATATCCGGTGTGCATGGATCTGTGGCCCTGTGGACACAGAAGAGGCCGAAGCACGACTGCGACACAAACTGAGCGTGCATGAACAATGGCTGGCCGATGTTAACGAGGCTATAGCTTTAGACCCTTGGTCCAGGCCCGACGGGAGATCGCTGCACCACCGTATTTACAACACCAACGAGCGGGCGAGGATTTTGGCCGCTCTCGAAGAGCTTGAAGGTATCAGGGACATCCAGGCCGATATGAACCTTGGTGAGCATTCAATCTCCGGAACCAACACCAGCACTGTTGGGGAAACCACCATGGAACCAGCCGTTCAGGATGGCAGCCACGCACCAGCCGATAGCCCAGATGATGAGGTCTCCAACGATGGACCAAATGATATCTCATTTGTAAGCCATGCAAGAGCCACTGGACCAGTCACCATCATCGATCCTCACACTTGCCGTCCCATTGACCTGCAGGGACTACAACAGAAAGCGAAAAAGAAAGACGCCAGCGGACATGGCCATGCCAATGGAGGTGGCGCGCATCTTGGTCATAGAAAGGGCTTCGCTGAGGTGAACTCAGAGATGGTCAGCTATGATAGCATTGGTGAGACGACGGGTATGCCGATTCCGGTTGGAAGCATGGACCGGCCTCTTGATATCGGCCAATCCTCCGGTCAGGCCGTCAAAGAATTGACCGAGAGTGATAACGGCACGTTCCTGGCTGAAAATAATCAGCTCACATCGTGGATCCCGCAAGAGATATTGACAGACTCTCGTCCGGTGAGTAAAAGGGTATCCAGTAAGACTGTACCCAGGAACTTCGGCCGCCATCGCTATGGCCCGGGATTACAGACTATCACGGAGATCGACCAGGAGTTCTTTTCCCCAGATGAAAACGAGGTTGCTGCTGTTATCGTAGGGGGTCGTACAGTTTCAAGCCCTGTGATGAGAAGGTAGACGTCTCCGTCCAAACCATGGCATTTGCGCGATACTAACTATGAGAGCAGTGCCGGCCAACAGGCGGATCCTGATACCGGTGAAATTGCATTTCAAAAGGGCCAAGCGGCCGAAGTTAAAGAGCGCATTGAAAAGATCGCGCGAGGCAAACAGGATGGTGAGACCAAAACTACAGGAGACGACAATGGTGGCCTTCAAGATGATGAGCTCGTTGTGGGATCTTCCGGACGAAATCCATCGGCCCAACGTCACCAACGCAAGAGATCTCGGTCTATCATTCTCACAGACACTCTCAGCGCAAGCAGTCTCAATGAAAATGAGACCTTGCAATTCGACTTGGAAGACTTGTCGGACTCGTCATGCACATCGGAAATACCCCTGCTCTCGAACCAAGACCCTTCCCCTCACATCAGGGCCCGCCTAACTATTAAGCCAAGTTACCCCACCGTGCTTTCGTCGCTGTTGATCCAATTGCACGCTCCACATGCTGCACCCGCCATTGTCTTGACCAGCAAGATCGAAGTCTACGCCTCCTTTGCGATGAGCTATCGGGTTGAGCGTTCTGGATACTAGTTCTATTTAACAAAAAGACCAAAAACAAAAAAAGACAGGCAACGATCTTAGCGATATTCTTAACAATGGACATTTGTTATCACGTGACATGACACAGACCCTGAAATGGCGTTAGAAAGTCGCCACCAAACATTCGCGCCATTTTTTTGATTAAAGAGTGAGATCTCCCTGTAGTTTCCTGTATACTGAAGTTACGCTCGCTGTTCTTCATCCTCTCTCTCTCTCTCTCGTTTTATAATAATCGACCATCAATGCAGACTCAGTCAAGTCGCGACATTCCACGTTTCTACTGCCTGGAATGACTAAGCGTGCCTCCGCGTCCTTCTCCACTCCAATTCCTCCTTGACTCGTTTCTTCCTGGTCTCTCAATTCTTGTCCCTTTTTTGATTGTCTGGCTGTGGTATGCAGTCTCTTCTATGATTGCTGTTTTCGTGGTCCTTGTTTTTTCATATCTGGGTGGCCTCCATCGCAACGACCTGGCCTCTTACTAACAATTGCCCCCGCCGTTATATCCCCAGCCGGCACTTGGCACTTGGGAACATCATAACCCCCGTTCTTTCAGTCGCCTCGCGCCTTTCATTTGCGCAGCGTTTCGTTCGCATCATCTTGTCTACTTCCTAGACTACTGCGATCTCGATTTCATTCTCGGTGACCCACCCAAGATGACGCAGCTTTTCGCCTCCAGTCCGTCGCCGGCGGTGACGAACAACAACGAGAAGCGTGGGATTTCCGGCCTCTCTCTTCCCTCCCGAAAACACTCCAACGAATCCAGTCACCTTCCGACGAGGATCAAGAACTTTTTCCGCATCAACAGTTCAAGCAGCCACTCCTCGCCTGGTACCCGCCCTGGAAGCAACGAGCCCGAACGAGACCGGGACAGCCATGGCAGTTCCGCCAAGAACGAGAAGTCTGCCTTCAGGCAATCCCGATTTATGCCTACCATCGGCCGCAATCGTTCGACCACCGTTGCCAGTGAGGGCAACCCCCTCGACGATAGCATGTCGCCTACCGCGACCGCCAACCCGTACTTTGCGCACCAGGGCCAACCCGCATTACGGCATCGCAATGACGGGTCTGTGCCATCTTCTCCTCCCGACACCCCTGAGTTGCAGGTCACTGGGGTCTCTGCGGTCGAGCAGGCAACTACCGCAAACAAGGAGGAACTAGCACGCAAGTTGCGCCGTGTGGCTTCTGCTCCGAATGCCCAGGGGCTATTCACAAGTGGTCAGAATGGGGAGCGCCCTCAAACGGCCGAGATGGGCAAGGAGCCTCTGGCGGAACAGGCCGGTCCCGGTGGATCCGTTGGCTTGGCCGGTTCAGATAAGGATGATGTTTTGGCTGTGCCAACAATTGGTGCTGATAACGCTTCTTTCCGTCGGACGTACAGCTCCAATTCTATCAAAGTTCGAAATGTGGAAGTCGGCCCTGCTAGCTTTGATAAGATCAAATTGATCGGAAAAGGCGATGTTGGCAAGGTTTATCTGGTGCGCGAGAAGAAGTCGAGTCGTCTCTATGCCATGAAGGGTAAGCTCGGTTTATTTTGGGAATATTTCAGTTCTTTCAGTTCTTCATACTAACTTGCGAATAGTGTTGAGCAAGAAGGAAATGATCAAGCGCAACAAGATCAAGCGTGCCTTGGCCGAACAGGAGATTCTGGCTACCAGCAATCATCCTTTCATTGTCACACTTTACCACTCATTCCAATCTGAAGACTATCTGTATCTCTGCATGGAGTACTGTAGTGGTGGCGAGTTCTTCAGGAGTACGTTCCTTTTGATCATGGATCTTGGAATTTTTGCTGACCCCATTCTCAGCTCTTCAAACTCGCCCTGGCAAGAGTATCTCTGAGGATGCTGCTCGATTCTACGCTGCAGAGGTTACTGCTGCGCTAGAGTATCTTCATCTTATGGGTTTCATCTACCGTGACTTGAAGCCAGAGAGTATGTATATCGTCGTCTCGCCGATTGGTGCACCGCTGACCACTTTCTAGATATTCTTCTCCACCAATCTGGTCATATTATGCTTTCAGATTTCGATCTGTCAAAGCAGTCAGGTCCTGGAGGAGCCCCGACGATGATTCCCGGTCGCAGTGGTGGCGGAAACTCCACCACGGCTTTGCCTACCATTGATACCAAGTCATGTATCGCTGACTTCCGCACAAACTCATTCGTGGGAACGGAAGAATACATTGCCCCCGAGGTTATCAAGGGATGTGGTCACACCAGTGCTGTGGATTGGTGGACATTGGGTATCTTGATTTACGAGATGCTTTATGGCACCACCCCATTCAAGGGCAAGAACCGAAATGCCACGTTTGCCAGCATCCTCCGGGATGAGGTGAACTTCCCCGAACACTCGGGTGTGCAACAGACATCACACCTGTGCAAGTCATTGATCCGCAAACTGCTAATCAAGGATGAAACCAAACGCCTGGGTGCCCGCGCTGGAGCATCTGATGTCAAGACCCACCCCTTCTTCCGACAGACGCAGTGGGCTCTCATTCGTCACATGAAGCCACCTATGATTCCCCACCAGGGTCGTGCCGGCACGGACACCGTGAATTTCCGCAACGTCAAGGAGAGTGCCAGCGTAGATATCGGCGGCACAGACTCCACCAAGATGAAGGGCGTCCCGATGGATTCGGGCTTGGCAACTCCGAACGGCGAGCTCAACGATCCCTTCGAGGAGTTCAACAGTGTCACTTTGCACCACGAGGGTGACATGTAAACTCCTGCGGTTTCCGTTTTCCTTTCGATGTCTAACTTGTTTCTTTTATTCGATACACGAGGGGAACAGCCGTATATGCATCGGCTCGCTGACGACCCGTGATACATTAACGACTGTATTTAGATGTTTTCTTTTCTTTTCTTCCATTTCAATCCTCGTTGGGTGTATGGAGTGTTTCGGGACTTTTTTTTGGCGGATCTATGCAAGCTTTTTCTCGTTTCTTTTCATCCCATTACTATGCCTGTTGATTCTGTTTCACCTTGCATTTTTCATTTCCCTTGCCGAAAGCCTTGGGATCGCTCTCGGTTTTCTCCGTCAATCTGGGTACCACATGGCAAAAGTTTCTTGGCATTTACATTGCCATCGATTGCTCGTGCCATGGGCCTTGAGGTCCTTTGGTTTCTGCGTGTTTCTCTGGAGATTGTGACATACATTTGCTCTACTTTTTTTTTTTTTTTTGCAGCGGACGGCGTTCTGGATTACTCTTTTGTCGTTTTCGGGTTACGCTTTCAGCGTGGCACTTGTACGGATCAACTGATTATGTGATTCTTTTCAAATTCCAACCGTTTCAAGTTACATGAATACTATGGACTGATTCTTCTACGATAACTTGACGTTCTATGTTTCTCTCTTGTCATTTGTCTTGAAAGTCTTCAATGCCAAGGAAATCGTGAGGGTGGCACGAATCAAGTATTCCCTCTGCGAATTCCTACACCTAAATTTGATTGTAGATTTCCAACCCTTACGTCTTATAGTATAAACATTATAGGATGACCGGTCTGGAATCCACCTAGATTGTATTCAAGTCGTTTCGGGTTGCAAAGATACCACTGCAAAGCAGGAACAATATCACAATTCACCTGCTATCTTAGAATCGGGCGTATATTCAATGCGAATGATGGTGATCAGCAAACACACCCTGCTCCGCACACGCCTTCCGACACTCCTCCAGCATCCTCGCCTGCTTAGCAACATCCCCCAAACGACCAATAACCTCCTTATTACCATCATAGAAGGTAAAAACAGCATAAGGGATCTCAACCTCCTCACAAAACTCCTTAACAAACTCCTGAGTCCTGCGCAAATTGTGTCTCGGAATCCGGGGATACAAATGATGAATCGCCTGGAACTGAAGACCCCCATGAAACCAATCCAACCAAGTCGGACAATCAACATCCATAGTCGTGCGCAGCATCTTCTGAGGAAACGACTCCAAAGGCCCAAGATCGGCAGTCGACATAGCATAATGCGAAAGCGTAATCTGCACATGCAACGGCGCAGTCACCATATGCGAAATAAGCACAAACGCAACCCGACTCCACCAACTGGGGATACTGCACCAGACAACACCGTACCCAAACCAACTCCAGAAGAAAACCTGGCCAGCCAGTTCGAACCAGCGATGCCACCATCCAGCACCGTGTTTCGGACCGAGACCGCAGATGATATGTTCCCAGCTCAAGAAGTAAAGGTTGAAGCGGCCGAAGAGGAGGATCGGGTAGTACATGTAATGTTGATATTTGACCGTGATCTTGGCAAAGGCATCGTACTCCATAATCCGATCGTAGTATGTACTGCGCAAACTACCGAAAAAGCGATGCGACAGCGCGAAGAAGGGCATGAGCTCGATATCGGGATCGTGCTCTGGCGCATTCGTCACGATGTGGTGGACGTTGTGGCTTCGTTTCCACCAGCCCAGACTCAATCCTCCCAGGTAATCGGCGATTATCATTCCGATCACCGTGTCGACTTGGTAGTTGTGTGTGATGCCCATGTGTCCAGCATCGTGGGCGGAGAAGACGAGTTGGTGCCAGAAACAGCCGAGGAAGAAGGCCGAGAGGCAGAACCAGGACTTGCCAAGGAAGAAGAGAAATAGGCTGAAGAAGAGGGTGTAGCGGGTTATTTCGATCGCGTAGGCTGAGTAGTTGCAGTCGTAGAGACCGGCTGCGCGAATACGCTCGTTTAGCTGGCGGTATTTCTGTGTGATGTTTTCTTGGTGCTTTGCGTCTAGGGGTGGGTATTTGGAGAGATCTAGGTCGATCTCTTGTTGGGTTCGGGCGTCTATCACGTAGCCTCGGGGTTTGTCTTCTGTTGCTGGGGGTGGGATTGCGCTTAATACCGAGGACATGGTTGAGACTGATAGTCTGCGGCGTAGGCCGAAGGCGTCTTCTTCAATCTCGAAGATTGGAGACGGGGGTGCTGAGATCTCTTCGATTGATAGCTCGGAGTTCACCAAGTATTCAGTCTCGTCTGCGTCTGTTTCATGGTATGGGCGGAAACGACCGCCTTGGATTGGAGGCATGAAGTTGGTCCATCTTCCTTCGATGCGACCGATTTGGAATTTGTTCATGCGCTGGCGTGCTTCCTGTGAGTGTAGGCTTAGGGTTGTTGGTCAGTATAATGGGCTAGTTTTATTGAGGCGCTGTGTAGATGTGTTGGAGACTTACGCGTTCACTTCGTCGGTGGCATCTTTGCCTACCATGTGCTTGATGGCCATGTCGCCTCCCGGGTGGAATTTGATCCAGGCATCTAGCCTGAGGACTTTGTCGTCGACGATGATGATCAGCTTGTCTTCGGCAATCATGCCTTCGACCTCACGTCTCGACAAGACCCTGTCTCTGGCCTTCTCTCGGGTGGCCATGTTGTCGATCTATGGTTAGAGAGAGAGGAAAGAAGGAATGAAAGTGATCTTGGACCAATTTGAAATATGTAAAACTTTGAAAATAGAAGGGTATTGAAGTGAGTCCAAGACAATTATATTAGAATAGCCTTTTTATGGAACATTTCATCTATTCTTCTACCTAGACTTAGCGCCACCCTGCAGGACATGCTCCTCTAGACCTAGGGGATACAAAAGGGGGCAGTGTCGAGTGGTCCAATCGAGTGGGCGTAGTATCCCATGGGGGAGTGGACTCTGGATATTGTGGAGAGACGACAAATACATGTATGGTGTTGGTAGCAGGACGCGTATCCAGAGCCCGAACAGACACCGCACTCGCTGATATGTCGAGCTAAAACAAGCTTAAACTTTGGTTGCCCCTGTCGGAAATTGACAGATCGCTGAAACTAAATCCTTTCCCCCTATCCATGTGGTTGATTTGACTCCACTAAGGGACGAAAGGTTTCTAAATGATGCATGGAATCCACCGAGAACGTTCTCTGCGCCGATCCCGCACACAATATCGTATTTATAAGTCTCAAATGTGTCTCTTAAATTGTCCAAAGACACTTTTAACCCCAACTATTCTAATTCCATGGGCCGATACCTTCGTATTCGCATAGTGGCCGGTGTACGCAAAGAAACCTTGGCACGTGCTCACAGTAACCCTAGGAAACAACGATATCAGGCACGGGACACAGACCATACGTAGCGCTACACTTAATAAGTGTCTGATAAACTGTAAGTGGCAAATATATCTCTTTTGCCCCTCTGTTGCCGCTCGAGCCCCACAACTAGGGCGACAGGCTAACTGTACAACGTGGTACCCCGTACGTACTTACGTACTAGATCCTCCATCTCAGGGCCAAAGTTGCCACTTGCCCGATTTGCCATATCCCCTGGTCTTTCTTCCAGGGTTCAAGTGCATCCGCACGTTTTACGGTAGAAAAATGATTTCAGAGTTCCTGTCAAAGAATCAGCCAATAATTTCCAAGACAATGGTTTGGATTGTCGCTCCTGATTCAATTGACAATTTGATACGTCTTCACGTATCCAGGGGTTTCATTCTAGAATCGGTGATCCCGATATTGATTGCTGCCTGTAGCCTATTCATAGTGGATCAACTATTCTGGGAACTCTATCTAGCCAGTAAACTGTTCTAGCAGGTGCGACAAGGGCAAAAGTGTCCACGTGTACTAGAAGAGGTACAACTGAACGTTTCTGCGCTAGGCAATCTATTGTTAGTGGCGGCTATTTTGCCTAAAGCTTTCGTAGTCGTATTTCACTTTTCACATTAGTTTTCCGAAGCGATGGTCTGGACTTAACATATTTGAGCTTGGTTTCCAATTAAATGGCGTAGCTCGCGTGTGAATCTAGCGCTAAATTCGATTATCTGAGGAATTCGATTTTTTATAATTACGAATACGGCCTTGCCTTTATCCTTCTCCGAACTAAGTGAATTGAATGCCTTTGGCCTTCCTTGATCCTTTATAATGTCTCATAGTTATCAGGTAGGTTGTCTTGAATTTAGGTCCTTCATTTGCTTTGAGGCATTGAGCACGTTATGTGAGTGTCGAGGTAGCCCCTTCACTTGTCAGTATGACTTTGAAAGCATAGTATCAACCGTGGGGCGCTAGATTAAGACCCCGAATGATTGTTTTTCTATGCATCGTTGACTCCGGGTTGAACACATAATACGTGTCAAAAGATGAACACTTGTTCTCTTCGCAGTATTGGAAGGACTAAATGGTGAACTGAAACCATTGTGATGTAATTTGCCCCGGCTGAATTTGCCTCGACGCGGTTGAAAATACCTCTAAGGTTGCTCCACTACTAGTATGTTGGGTTTAGACCAGCCTTGAACATCGGACAGACAGTTCATATGCGGTCTAAAGTCTGACGACACGAAGATCCATGTACGTGCATGCGTGAAAACATTTTCATAATCACAAATTTGCGATCGAAATCTATGCATATAGCTGAGACCGAGGTGCAGTTACTATTGACGATCTGCATGCAATGTTGATCACAGGCAGATGTGTACGGTAAGTATGCAACAAAGGAGACGTCATTGTTGGAATGGGCATCTCTAAATGAACATCTTACGTATGGTTAAGTCTAAGGCCAGTGCCCGAACATGACCACATCCGATTTATGACTCACTATGGGGAACGCCTAGATCCAGAAAACCTCCAAGGGAGACGGTAAAATTGCGGTCAGAAAGCGTGGAGGCCATGCTATCATTATTGTGGGGTAGGTATTCCGAAAAAGCCAGGCACGATGACCGCTTAACCGATTTAGCACATAAAAGGGCATTTCAAGCATCCACTTCGAGCTAGAGACTGCAAGTGAGGATCCTGCGCATCTACAGTACATGTACTATGTGAGATGACCGCGGTCCAGATAACTTTTCTTGAAATCCAGTAGACACTGCTGGTTCTACGGGGAATAAGTAAACTTGAGCGTCTTTTGTAGCCTGCCTACTCCGTGATGTGCAACCTGAGACTTTGATAGAGCAGTACGAAATTGAGCCATGGGAGGGGCGAGACTGAACGAGTACAAAGTCGCTGATCAATATTGAACTGCATGATAGCTGAACTACTGTAGCGTACATGTAGATCATATCTCTCGGGTCGGTGACACAGATCTCACTACACGGGTACTTATGACATCAGTTATGGAGCATTCTTGACCTTTGAGTTTGTCCTGAGATCAATCAAGTCCAGGCAAGGAGCTCAAGGCGGTTCAATCCGTCATAGATAATCAAGGGGGATGGGTGCAATTCTAGCTGTAAATAACGGCACCACTTTCGGTGTGTCGGAAACTTATACCGCTGCAGTTTGCCAACGCGCTATTTGAATCCATATCTGTATATCCAACAGCGCTCAGGTCTTTGGTTTCAAGATACTTTGATTATTGCTGACACCCTTAATTACAAGCCTCGGACGATGCTCAGACTAAGGACCCCGACGAAGAAACAACACCGGGGCGAGTGATAGCGGGAAATGGAAGCATATCATCCCATTAAGTGCGATGAATTCCAGAGCTTAAGAGATGAACCACTACATTTACCGCAATTTTCGTTACCTTCATGTAGTACCATCGTGATTACGAGGGTAAATATGTTTCTTCTCCATTGAAAGAGGGAGCCATGGCTCAGTGCCTTTGAAACAGCAGTGAAGTCCTAGTCTTGCTGGCGTGCCTAATGTTGGTAAATGTTCGGGTCAGATGTCGTCGTCTATCTATAGGAACGGTCAGTGATCACTCTAGAGAGCTAAGACTGTAAGGGATCTAGTCTACAGTAGCAGCCAATTACTGACAATGTTATTATACAAAGGAGTAGCCGGGAATCTTATTGAGTAGAAAATAAAATATTCTTTGTATCGAGTTGGAGTCATACTCTACCTGGATTTGTATTAAGTTCAGTGTGAAAAACACACTTGCGGCGAACTAGTACTCTGTACACAACAGTAGTTCCAATGTTACTAAACCTTCCCATATAGTGGCAATGAATATCACAGAATTAATACCATGGAGTAACTTCATCAGGAAGACGTGTAATTTGATACGACATATAAGTTAGTGAACGATATATATAGCCAACTGAAGTACTCCGTACCTTCGTTAAGGCTAGGCAAGCCATACGCCCTTTTTCATACTATGTCTAATTGTCTAAAATAGGCCACAACCTACAAGAGAGCGTAAAGAGTAAAAATAAAAAGAAGAAGCCTAAGACAAACAAAAAAGGTAAGATGAAGTGGCATATCGGGATCGGGAACCTTGTGCAGACGCGTCCCGAACCCGAGAAAACCGAAGCTCACAACTCTCCAGAACAAACACCACTCACAGCCTCCAACTGTCGTATCAGCAAACAAAATCCAAATAGAAACTCCAACCATGTCCGCCTTTGCGCCCGAAGACCCTGACTCTCACGATTATGCCTACACCGAAGCCGACCCCGCGACATCCACCCCTCCGATCCCCCAAGAACAAACAATGGACACCGACACAGAAGCCTCGCACGGCCGAGGGCACTCAAACAATCCTCTCTTGGGTGATAATCCCCTCGTGTCAGACTTGGAGCAGGAGGTGCTAGACGAATATGCTCGCTTGTTGCGGAATGTGAATCAGGTACGCGGAGAAGATCTCTGTTCCCTCTTCACAGATCTCGAGAATTTGCCCGAGTATCTAAAGATGCCTACCTGATGGGCAATGACCCAGCGGATTCTATCTATCTCAAACTACCAAGACTCCCCATACTGATTGATTCCTGTGCACAGCTCTCAGACAAACTCTCCGACCTCGCTGGTTCCCCCGCTTCCATGCCACTCGATGGCCTCCGGCTCCTCGAGCGTAAGACTGCTACTGTTTGCACTTTGCTGAAGGCTAGTGTGTATAGCATTGTCCTTCAACAGCAGATCTGGAATGAAAATGAAGAGCAGCAGCAACAACAGCAGAATGAGGACCAGCACTTCCAGGACCAAGACTATCAGTATGGAGGCTACGACGGGGAGGGAGAGATGACGTTACAATAAGCGTGTGAGATGATAGTCTTGTCATTGTTTTATGATTCTGTTTGCTTGCGTTTTATACCCGGGGTGTTGTTTAGTTTTGAGTCCGTTTCTCATAGATGGTGTTATGGAAAGAACCTTGTTGATTGAATCTTCAAATATGCCGTGAATAACTCGATATACTAGAGAATTGAAGACCCTTTCATGTTTAACAACCACTTATACAAGTACAATGCAAAAGACACAAGGAGAAGAGGAGAAAAAGAAACATTATATACACGCTGGTACGAAACACCAAGCCAAGGCCAGAAGACCCTAAACCTTGCCAGCGTAGTACACCTTGCGCACGTCGACGATCTTCTTGCCGAGTGCGTGAGCGACCTGCTCGGGGTTACGCTGGCTCATAATGGCCTCGTAGGCGGCCTTGACCGTGTTCATAGGGTTTCTTGAACGACCAACACGGGCCGATAGATCGTGAATGCCACAGGCACGGCACATCTCCCAAATGAGATATTGGACACGGAGACCGAAGCCTAGATTATGTTAAAAAGATATTCTGTCGAGAAAGACAGTAAATAAACATACCTGGGGGACGGTGCATAAGCTGCAACTCTGTGGCTCCCACCTTGCCCTTGACATCACCGTAGATGGTGCGGTTCTCGTAACGGGGTATGGGCTGCATGTTGCGGATGGCACGATATTGCGACTGGATCACTGCATCGGCAGCTTCGTCGGACTTGGCCTCACCAATACCCAACAGGCCGTTTGTATTGCCGGCAATAGACAGACGGTATGCACGGCGAACCTTTCCTAGACGGGTCTGGTTTGTGACGCTGTGTGAAACAAGGGTTTTGGTGCGGAGGCCCTTAACCTGTTGCTCGGTGTAGCCTGTCTTCAGGAGAAGGCTCTTCAAAGCATCTGTCATTTCCTCGGCTGCGGCCGACCGCTCCTTCTCGCCTTTCTCGGCGGCAGTCTTGCGTTCTTCCACACGGGGCTCGTCAATGGTCTCGCCAGGCCCGAAAAGGTCTGGAACAAGTGCACTGTGCGGGTTCAGCTCGTTCTCCTCCTTGCCGTGGGTGACCCGCAAGCTGTTGGCGAATTTCACAAAGCTTGAACCTGACGCGTGATTTTCACTGGGAAGCTCAACGAAGTAGCGGCCCCAGTCCTCCGCGAAATCATCCTCGGTCTTCATCTTGAAATTGAAGTCCGAGTTGGACTCCGGGGCGCGCTGGTGGCGGTCGATACCGGGTTCAATCACTGAGAAGTCGTCGACATACTTGAACTTCATCGGATCGGATCGTTCCTCGAGCTGCTCGGCAAGGTCCTTCGGGTCGATAGCCGCCTCGCCGGCGTTGATGGCGGCCATCTGCGATTCGGAGTACTGCTTGGCGAGCTCGGCCTTCTGCTCTTCCGTGTATGGCTTGAATTCGCCCGTCTGAGGGGCTTTAACATTGGGAAATTTCGGTTTCCGGTTCGAGAGAGAGGCGGGAGTAGGATGGAATTGGCGACGAGGAACTCGAGTGCCCGGTGTGGCAGCACGAGTGAAGCTGCAGAAAAGGCATCGTGCTGGCCGTGTTAGACTCATGATGTCGATGCAATGGGCCAGCTACCAGCTGGTTCAGAGCTCCGAGAGAAATAAACGCGAATTGCGGAGACAATTGGGGGCAAAGACCAAAGCAGTCGGAGATGAAGCGTATGAATTTCTCTCCTGCGGGCGGTCAGTCCCCAACCAATCAATGGCCCCATAGATGAGTTTCTAATAAATTTCCCATTTGGCGATTTTCGTCAAGAAATTATTCCGCAGTCACTTCTCTCCTTTACATGTTTGCCGTTCGCTTCTCCGTCCGACGCATTACTTCCTCTTGGCTACCTCGAGCCAGTCAACTACGATCGATTTCCGACTTCCACGTTCCTCGCCCTGCCAATGCTCCGATCCCCGCAATAATGCAGAACACTCCCAGGAAACACTTCGCCGGCAAGCAGCGCAAGAAGGCCAAGATCGAGAAGAATAAGAGCAGTGGACACGATGAGGTCCTCCTCGCCGACATCAACAACCTTCTTAAGCGCAGTCAATCCGAACAGGACGAAACCAATGGCGAGGATGCGCCCCAGGCTATTCCCGAGAAATTCACTGAAATGGATGTGAAGATTTCTGAGCTTTCCTCGACCGGCGATGGTCTAGCACTTTCAGAAAACGGAAAATATGTTTATGTGGTTCCGTTCACAGTCCCGGGCGACACTGTGCGGGTCAAAGTGGTGAGGCATTTCGAGTCGTTGTCATACAGTTTGACCGATTTCGTGAAAGTGATTGAAGCCGGCCCCCAGAGAAATGATGCGCTCATTAATTGCAAATACTTCGGAGAGTGTTCTGGTTGTCAGCTCCAGATGATGTCTTACGATGACCAGCTAGCTCACAAGCGGCGCATCGTGGAGAAAGCCTTTGCTAATTTCTCTGGGCTGATCCCAGAGCTTGTGCCCACAATCGGAGAGACATTCGCCTCGCCAATGCAGTTTGGATACCGCACGAAGCTCACACCGCATTTCGAAAATGGCGGCGGCCGCAAGGCCAAGAATCATAACGAAGAGGAGGAGGTCAAAGTTCCACCTATTGGATTTACATACAAGAACCGACGCCTTGATATGGATATCGAGGATTGCCCTCTGGGAACAGACATTGTGCGGCGTGGTCTCACTAGTGAGCGGAAACGAGTTGCAGAGAACATCCGTTCTTACAAGAGAGGTGCGACTCTTCTGATGCGAGAGTCAACCACACGAGTGCCCAAGGAGTCGGCAACTACTTCCGACGGCGAAGCACCCAAGGCCAGCCCGATCGTCCCAACACCAGGAGCAGACACGGGCGACGTGATCCGCATCGAGCACGAGAACTATATCGAGGAGAAGCGCTGCATCACAGACAACAATGCCACAATGGTCGAGTACGTCGACGACTACATCTTCAGCAACAAGGCAGGCGCCTTCTTCCAAAACAACAACTCAATCCTGTCCGGCTTCACCGAGTTCATCCGCTCCCAAGCCATCCCCGCAGGCAACGACAAAGACCCACGCCCGATCAAGTACCTCCTGGATGCCTATTCCGGCTCTGGTCTATTCACCATCACACTCTCCCCCCTCTTCAAATCCAGTCTCGGTGTCGACGTAGCCGGCGATTCCATTAACTCAGCACGCGACAACGCCCGCGCAAACGAGCTCCCTAACACGGGCTTCGCTGCCGCTGATGCCGCTGTTCTCTTCAAGGATGTCCCTTACCCTGCCGATCAGACTTTGCTCGTCATTGACCCGCCTCGCAAGGGTTGCTCGGATGACTTCTTGCGCCAGATGCTTGACTTCAAACCCCGTCGTGTTGTTTACGTCAGTTGCAATGTTCACACCCAGGCTCGCGATGTGGCTGTCATGGTTCAGGGTGATGAGAAGAAGAATGTGCGCTATGAGATCGAAAGTATTCGTGGCTTTGACTTCTTCCCTCAGACCGGACATGTGGAAGGTGTGGCTATTTTGAATCGCACTTCTTTCCCTCAGGCGGAGACTGCTCCTCAGACGGAAACTGCTTAAACTTGGGATGAATATCTGAATCCATTCGAAAAGTTATTTGCTTGGCGTGGGTATACTCTATATTGGTCTGATCTTGCATACCCTGTGGCGTTTTGGGACACAAACAAAAAGGCACGACGGCGATGGTGGATATGTATGCCTTTTAATATATTTTTTAAATTCCATTTCGTGTATAACATGTCAAAGGGCAATAACGCTCTTATCGGCTTACATTGTCGTCAGATATAGGAAAGCCGATGAACATCGGGGCGCCAAGCCGTTTTGGATAAAAGAACATAAATAGAGAACCACCGGAGAATGAGAAAAAGAAAGGAAATGAACTACCAACTATGAACAAAAGGCTGAGCTACATCGACTGACAAGCATCTAATGATAATATCGACTCCTTTTCCCTCTACGAGCTTCCAGGGCCACCAAGCAGTGCGAACCTCCGCACAATGCTGGGACCAATCTCGTCGTACTCCGCCTTGGTGTGGCAGTAGCTCCGGAACTCAGGAGTCTGGCCCAGCAGACTACCTCCGAACCAGGGGCCGTGGCGCTGGCGCTTATGCGTCACAACGGCAACATCAAGACCACCACTGCGTGCGCCGCCGCTGCGAGCCTCGGAGGCGCGAATTCGTGCATCCACCAGATGGCGGATATCACGCTGCAGACGGCGGCCAAAGTCCTTATACAGAGTGGAACCACCAGACAGGACAATGTTCTTATAAAGACCTCTCCGGACGTCAATGGGCGAGGATTGAATGACGCCGTCAACGACATTGGGGAGCGGGGTGAGGAAGTCGGACGAGTAGATTTCGGGGTTGAAGAAGATCTCCGGGGCGAGGAAACGTTCGTAGCCAATGTCGATGTTGACGCTCCGCCCGTTGGGAGCAGTGACGGTGTGCTTCAGGAAGCGGTCTGGCTCGCGGTCGTAGCGGGCGAATTCCTTGACGATATCGGGGCTGACATAACAGTACTCCTCCTTGACCTTCTCTGCTGTCTTCAAGCTGCTGTCTGGCTCGCCACGGTCACGAAGCAAGCTCTGCACGAAGTATGTAATGTCTCGACCGGCAACAGGAATACTCTTGATGGAGGACCCGATGACGTAGCCCTCAGCGACAGGGATAACGTGGGTGACACCATCACCGGAGTCGATAACAGTTCCGGTAAGGGACCGGTCTGTCACCTTGGAGGATGTCCATGACGCGGCAAGAGCAAGAACGGCTTGAACGGCGATGTAGAGACCGGCGCAATTGAACGACTCGAACATGATCTCGGCGGTGTTTTCACGGTTCTCGGGAGGGTTCAGGGGCTAAGTTGGAGAAATATCAGCTCTACTCAACACAGACAGCTGGCAATTAGCATGCGCATTCGCCTTACAGGTTCGGTGAGTAGGAAATAGTGGTCCTCAGGCTCGACTCGCAAGTACTTGAAGATCGAGTTTGACCAGAATCGCTCCATGTGGTCCCAGTTCTCAACCTGTCCATGGCGAATAGGGTAGTTGACACCATATCCTGGGCCAGCACCCGCAGCGAGAGCTTCATCACCGATAAAGAAATCCAGGTCCTCCGTGCCACGCTTAGCAGAGAGGTTGGAGCTAGCCCCACTTCCACTACCTAGGAACGAGGGCTTGTTCGCGACTGGTGGGCGGGCGCCGGAGCTTGCAGCGCTTCCAGCACCGGCCTTCGTTGCAATTGCGGTTGGAAACACGAACGAGGGGGAGTCGTTACCGGCGAAACCTGCAAGAGTGTAGGGACCATGTCAGCCTAATCCATGATCGCAAGTTCTCCAAATATCGAGAGCACATACCAAGCTTGGAGTAGCCAGTACCGCTAAGAACATGTCAGGTCAGCATTTGACGTTATCATTTGGGCCCTTGCAGCTGTTAACATACTTGTCCATGACAACGGCGGGTGTTTGGTTCGCCATGGCGGGTGGTTGGGGTCTGTCAACAATTGATCCGCAGTCAGGGATTCAGAAAACCCCGAAAGATATCAATCAAGAAGGGAGGGAGAGATACGGCTCTCAATTGTAGCCAATATGCTGATTTGGAGACACCGAGAGGACAGGCAGACAAGGCGGGGGGAGAGGATGGAGGTCCGGAGGTCCAGGATTACATAAGGTCACGTCAACATCATGTGCCTCTATCTGATCTACAAAAATGTTCAACTCGAAGGCAGTTGCGAGCCATTGATCCATTATGGAAGAAATAGGCAATCGTCTTCAGCTTCTTCCATGTTGCACTTCTTGATTCCGTCCAACCCCTAAGCCACTCGCTTTTTTATTCCCAATATCCTCATGTGCTCACCTGTGGTGCGGTTCCTATTTTTCCGTATTGTTTATCATTCACGTACATATCCTGGCGATTGGCTTTCATCGCATTGGTCGTTCTCTTCGTTTGCAGCCCCTAAATCAGCCACAGCCTTAGAGCATTGGTTTGCGGTGCTCATTTGATTTGAGAACACTGGATTGTCTGGTCGTTTGCCAACTCCACGGCCAACAATCTGAGAGCGACAATCTGAGAGCGGGATGAATCACGCTCGCTTGACATTCATCTAAAGGACTTGCTTGTTGTTTACGCAGACCGACGGCAACTATCCTTCGTCGAGTTCCATCTACTCAATCAACGCGCAATCTTTCGACGTGGTGGTAACCACGCCGCGCACCTCGGACAAACCCTCGCTGCAACCTGGTTCATCGAATCAGTTGCTCAATCGCTTTGCGATTCTTCCCAAGAGCTGCCGCGACGCTTCAAAACTGAAGCCTCCAAGATGGACCCACCTCCAAACGATGGCATTTGTGCCATTTTTGTCCACGCCGGGGCTGGCTTCCATAACCTCGAGAATGAACACAAGCATTTGGGAGCCTGTGATTCGTATGTGTTCTTGGTGCATTTTCATCTGGTTGCCAAAATCTAACCGTTGAAATTATTAGGGCTACCACTGCCGCCATGGCGTTCTTGAAGGCCGGCGGTACTGCTGTCGACGCCGTCGAAGTCGCCTTGACGGTGCTCGAGGACAATCCGATCACAAACGCCGGATATGGCAGCAACTTGAACCATAATGGCATAGTTGAGTGTGATGCCTCGATTGTCGACCATCGAGGAAAAAGTGGGGCTGTCGGCGCTGTGCCCAGTAAGTTTGTTATGTATCTGGCGAAGTGTGTCAGTCAGCGTTTCCTAATATGGAGTGTTAGACGTGAAGAACCCAATCGCGCTCGCCCGAAAGATTTATGACAAATCCAACAAAGACATGGGCCAATCGAGAGTGCCTCCCAACTTCATTATCGGAGAAGGCGCCAGAGACTTTGCGTGGGAAAATGGGATCATCGTCTTGCCACACGATGACATGACTCACCCCGCCGCGCGTCTACGTTGGAAATCATGGAAAGAGGAAGTTAACGATCACGAGCGTGTCAAAGGCAGCCAGGATGCTGATCCCTGGCTTCGTCGGCCTTTGACCCCGATGGGGACTCGCCTTGAGCGCCTTGCAAAACGCGAGAGTCTTGCTGCAGCTGATCATGAAGCAAATGAGGAGTACATGTCCGACTTGCTCGTAAGTAACCCTGGAGGACATGCCACCGTCGCGAAGATTGCCTCCTCATCGTCTCGCGATGGCAGCCCCGATATCGAGACCGATACCGAGACTGAGCGCAGCACCAGCGACCAAGAGGATGTTGATATGATCTCAGACACCATTGGTGCCATTGCTATTGACAGATGGGGAAACATTGCCGCAGGATCTTCTTCTGGTGGCATAGGCATGAAGCACCGTGGCCGAGTTGGACCTGCGGCTCTTATTGGCATTGGTACTCACGTCGTCCCAGTAGATCCAACTGACCCAGACGGGACCACAGTTGCATGCGTCACATCCGGAACCGGAGAGCTTATTGCTTCGGCGTTCGTGGCTTACACCCTCTCGCAGCGCATTTATTTCAGCCAGAAGAAGTGTGAGAACGGCAGATTTGAGCAGGAAGTGGACCAAGTAGTCATCTCTGAGTATTTCAAGAATGAGTTTACCAGTACGTATTTGTGATGTTTGCTTACCTGGTATTGATTGATGCGGCTTCACAGAAACTAACATGTTTGCTACGCTTAGACTTCCCTGCCGTGGACGACAGCTTTCTCTTTGGCTCTCTCGGAGCAATGGTGGTGAGAAAAGACAACGATGGCATTGAGCTTTTCTTTGCCCACAACACCCAATCTTTCGTGAGACACAATTCTTCCTGTTTTTTGTCTGAATGATTGCTAATTACATCTGACAGGCCATCGGCTCCATGTCCAGCAACCAAGAGAAGCCTGTGTGTGTGATGTCCCGTGGTACCCGAGGAAGCATCATGCAGGGAGGTGCTCGAGTCCGCTTCTAAAGCCGACTCACATCGACCCAGGCGGCTTTTGCCCGAAATACTCGTTTCTGCTTTATTTCGTCTTCATTTTATTCGAGATACCCAGTTTGCCGCAACATCTCCAGGGCCTTCTGCAACGCCAGCGTTTCTCTCTTGCATAGCGACAAACCGACAAGGTAGAGCCTCACGCCAATTTTCCTTCTGCGCATCCCGCAGATAGTTCCAAGCACAACTGCTTCTTGAAACCGGGCATCGATATGGCCAGAGTGTGTTCTCTTGACTAAGCCCCGTTGTTCTTCCTTTTCACCTATGCATTCTATTGCTAGTAATTCAAGAACTGTCAAAATTTTCTCTCCCGTAAATGATAATATGTAATATTTCTAATGGTCAGCCCGATGCCCATACAAACGCCACCATCCAACCAGGGACGTATCATAAAAGGAATCAAAATGCAAGCACTAATAAATGTAAACAAGAGAAGATGAACACCGAGCAACGAAAGCATCAAGTACCGGGCGTAGGAGTCGACATAGGCGTCCCAGCCCCAGACGCCCCATTAACACGCTTCTTTTTCTTTTTCTTCCGCGGTAGCAAAGCCGGCCTAACATGATAATCCCCAACATCCAAATGCGTCCCACAAGTCATGCAATCGCCCCCAGGAGGCGGTTCACAGAAAATACTAAGACAAATCGAACACACGAACCCAACATCCACAACCCGCCGATGACAAAAGCACGCAGCACGGAAATCAACATCCACCCGCGTGGGGAGCACCAAATGCCGGCGCGAGCGCTGATCCGGCAAGAAAGCCATCATCAAATACTGCAGCAACCCCCGCGGCTCAGAAAGGGCCATATATACGCCCTTGGTCGCGTCCGACGCCTGCTGCAGGAACACCGCATCCCCGCTAAGTTTGCATACATCAATGGGGATGTGCAGCCGCTGACAAGCGAAGATGCTGTTCATAACGGGGATGTACTGGTGCGCGGAATCGGTAGACCCGCTCACGGACACGATCAGGATCCGGCTTTGGAGGCGTTCGTCTTCGTTGGATGCGGAGTACCTGTTCGGCGCGGCGGCTACTCCGCCTGCTCCGCCGCCGCCGCCACCTCCTGCTTCCGCGGCTGCATCTTCGAGGTTTGCACCGCCGTGTTCCTCTGCCCAGGCGATTGTGCGTCTGTTTATGTTGCTTAGGGCCAGGGTGAGTGCGCCTGCTAGCATTGTGGACATGTTGCTGCGGAGGTCATCGCCGGTTGTGGAGTCTATTAGGTCTTTTAGATTGCGGGTGACTTGCTCTTCGACGATGCGGAAGGGGCGGTATTTGTTTGTTTGGGGGGTTGTGTTGCCATTCATTGTGACGTCGCCGTCTTGGTCGGCAGAGGGACTCGGGGCATTTTGGGACGGGTAGAGCCAGGCGGCTTTTTGGCTGTGCGAGGCGACCACTGCTACTTCGTTTGCGTAGTTGCAGGCTAGGTGGGCGTTTATGAAGACCAGGATGTTGGCGACTGCCTTGGAGAGTGGGAGGGAGTCTTCGAGGAGGGCCCAGGCGTGTGGGTTTGTGTCAATGATTACGGTGAGGAGGGATGGTGCTAGGTCTTTTTTGTGGCTATGTTTAGTTGGGTTTTCTGCAGCTGTAGACAAGTGTACGAACCTGTGGCTCCCAGTTCATAATGCTCCGAGGCGTCGACGGAATTCATTGTGGACCGCGGATCAGTCGAGGCTGATGGTCATTGTGAGGGGTGCGCTGGAGGGGTGTCGGGCGTTGGGCCAACTTAAATAAAGGCCTGATGCGCTGCTTAATGACAGTCTCTCAATATTGGTGGAATGTTCGATTCGAGCTCGAGTAGTTGCAGATGTAGTCGGAGAACCAAGAATTAAGCTTGTGATAAGCCAGTCACGGGGTGATAACAACTATAGCTTCTACTCTACCCATTCACCCTAAAGTTATACACAATTCTGTTCAGTACAGCTTCCTTATGCGCTCTGACCGGTTGGGAATTACCTTTTTGTATTATACAATCGAGTGCAGAATGACCTGGTTCAAATAAGTCATTTTATGGTACACTTTTATTCTCGCATTCGGCTCTGAGCTTTGAGGCTTGGAAAACTTGACTCATATGGCATGGTTACCTTCAGCAGCTTGATTCACCGACTAAGTTTCCGTTATAGTATTCAGACCACCCTGAAAAAAAGATCATAATGTATTGGAATAAATAAATCAAGTAACGTTACAGCGTAGTCAAGTCCTGCTATGCTTCAGGCGTTCCTTTGGCTAACATATCAACCTGGTCCTGCAAAAACTTCAAAGTAACACTCGTCTCCTTCCCTTTCTCAAGAAAGTACTTTGAATAGCCAGCGCTGAACTCGATCCTCCCGACATCAGGCGCCATTGCAATGCGCCAAGCCAACAGAAACCCAGTCACGTTCCAAGCGACCTCCGAGGAGGTAGTCGGAAAGATAGTGACATGGTAGTTTTGAGTCTTGTCGCGCCTTTCCTTGAAGTTGTCGGTGTATGTGTCCACCCACGCATCATACGATTCCAAGACCGACAGAGGGAATGAAGAGAGCACTTCTTCTGCCTCTAACATACAGTCCCCCTCGTCAGCTGAGGTCGTCCGGATCTCGCCAAATGAAATCCGTGCCGTAATCAGCAAAGATACGATAATTCAGGGGAGGTTCTGTTGCCGTGGATGTCGTGGTCGATACGGAAGTGGTAGAAATAGGAGGCTCCTGGGTTGACATCTCGACAGTCGTTGGTTCTGACTGTTGCTCTTCCAGTGCATTTGTGACTTTCAAAACAAAGTCAAAGCTGGTTTCTACCAGAGCGGAGTTTTTGTCGGACTCAGTAAGAGGTATTTCGGCAAGGCTACGCCATGCATCACCCAGGTTCCTGATAGTTTTGATGTATCGCTGAGACTGTGACTGACTGCAAAACACATCCAGAGGCTTGAGAAGGCTAGAAGCCATGGTTGTAGAACATACGTAGCTCGAGGGGTAAGTTAACGTTAAATGAAATGTGATACTAGGTACGGAACCCTGAGGTAGCTTACCGGTCATTAGCGCTTCTACTTTATACAAGTTGATTACCCCTCCTCCGCTCGACGTTCAACTTCTTCCTACAACATATCTTGGCCTTTGAAACAACTGGGGTATGTGACTGGTCCCGTATGAAGCAGTTCGGGAAACAGGTCGGAGCCGGACTCCAATGGGAGGAACTGGCGCTCAGTGACTGAATCTACTATGCATTTATGAGCATCTTTTGTTGAGATGGATTGACTCTCGGTCGATTTTAAAGGCCAGGAGGACAACACTCTTGGCATATCCCTTGGACGCGCCAAGGTACTACTATTGTATTCTCTAGTGGCTTGGTGAGTAGATCAATGGATAGTCCACTTTGCTGCACATCGGAGTTAGCGGAAGAGTATCCGTTTCCTGCAAGTGAGTCGGTCGTCCAGCCAGTCCTTGGAATAGAAGGATAGCACAAACCTGGAAAGTCTTCTAAGCTGACCAGTATATACCTAGTAGTATATACTACCTAGATGTGTGCTTATCAAAAACGTGACGGATCTCGTTGCTGTGGTTGGTCTTATCAGACCGATTGATAATGGTCGTGGATGAGATGGCGTAAGACCAAGAAAGAGCAAACGGTGAAATTAATGTACTTCGCGTGGGGAATTGAGAGCTATGCGCGGCAATCCGAAAATAAAACACGTCCATCATCCCAACATCCCAACTCCCGTTTCTTGCTTTTTCCGCCTCCCCGTCCTTATCGCCCTTTCTCTCCACTCCCCAGTAAAAAAAGCTACCGGGATCCCACTTCCGCTTTACGTGACCTTCTGATCACCACACACCAGGAGTAATTTTAATTGTTACTCCTTTTCGCGCCTTGCAATGGTCCACGCAACAGGAGAAGAGCGCGCTGTGAACCTAGCCCAAGAGGCTGTCGAGCTGGTCGACGCGGGCCACCGCGAGGTACGTGATCCCACTATCCCCAGATTGAACGAGGGGCTGATTCTCAACTCACTTGATAGGCTGCCTCCCGGAACCTCCGAGAAGCACTTTCGCTGGCCCCCGAGAACCCCCAAGTGAAAGCGGCGTTCTTGAAAGTTCAGCACGAAGACAAAGACCGCCACCGGCTGCTGGACCTCTGCCGACGATACGCCACCCAAAACGATGAGAATGCAGGCAAGGAAGCTGCTGCCTACCTCCGCACAGATGGCTTGAAGTCTCCGGAAGATGTTGGCTTGGAATCCTTGAGTCTGTTGCTCGCACAGCGACCGCACTCCCTATCAACAACGCAGGATGAGATCATTTCCGGGCTGGTGCGACAGAATGCCAGCGTTCGACAATATTTCTCTGCCCAGCTCCAGATCTCTGTGACTGCATTTTTCGATGATATTTATGAACGGGGTGATGGAGCGGCCGTCTGTCTGGACACGGTGGTGTTGGATCCCAGTGTGTGGCCATCCGAGGATGCGCGAACCCACTGCGAGAGCGAATTGTTCCAACTGTTCATCGCCAAGTTGATGGAGTCGGGCCACGATCTTGATGGCCGCTCTTTGAAGGGAATTACAAGACTACTCGCGGTCGATGCTGACCAACTCCAACATCTGATTGACGACGAAGGATTCGAGGTGATTCTTTCTTCTTTGGACTATCGCTTGCCCTTGGAAGTGCGGAGCCAGGCGACTCTGGCTACTGCCAAATATCTCGAAGTTGCCAAGGAAGCTGGCGAGAAACAATTCTCGGCATTGATCATGTCCATTCTGGGAAAGGGCCGCATTGATGATTTGATTGTCGCTTTCTCTGCGGCTGCGGCTATCTTCCCCGTGGCACCTGCTGCAGCTGCCAGTCTCTTCTTGTCGGAAGAGTTCATGGGATACTTACGTCCATTGGCATCTCGAGAGGCTAGGAGCAAAAAGGTCGAGGTCCCTGTACTCGAGTTGCTCAATGCAGCATGCATCAACCGGCCGTGCCGTGAAGCTGTCTCTAAGGAATTCGGAGAGTGGCTGTCTCATATCTTGACCAATGGGAGCGATGAATGCTCGGAGTTGGCAGCGGTGGCTCTGGCGAAGATTCGGGCATCCGAGCCCGATCAACCCTCGACTGGCAACGGTAAGGTCTTGGAGGAAGATAGCGAGTCTGAGCTCGTTCACCGATTCAAGGGACTGATGTCTGCACAAAAGGTCGAGAACAATTCGCATGCCGTTGAGGGACTGGCCTATTCCTCGGTGAAGCCAGCCGTCAAAGAACAACTTGCTAAGGATCCTACTTTTCTACGAAGCTTCATTGCGAATTTGAAGCAAAACACTGGAGATTCATCCGTTCTATACGGTGGCTTGATGGTCGTTTTGAACCTCACAAAATTCCTCCCCAATCTCTCTGAAGAGCAAAAGAAGATGTCACAGTTGAAGGACTATGCGGATGCGTCTAAAGGGAAGCCTAGCGCAGCCCCAGACAGTCGGGATGAAGATGAGGCTGTATTGGCACGCTGTGCCGCTGTCATCGATGCAGGCGTCATGCCTCTACTGGTAGAGTGTGGACGAATCGCGCTACCTTCCACCAATGAACTCACAGCCAAAATCTTACTGGGATTGACAAGGCATACCAAGTCTCGTGGTGCACTTGCTCAGCAAGGTGCAGTCAAGCTTCTACTCGGCCTCGCGGCACCGAAACAGAGTAGTTCTGGCCCCGTCACAAATGACACAACGCGTATCGCCTCCCATGCGCTGGCCCGCATCCTTATCTCTGTTGATCCGGCACACGTTTTCCCATCATCTGGGTTCCCTCAAGTGACATCCGCCGTCCGTCCTTTACTCTCCCTTCTCTCATCATCCGAAACTCCTTCGTTCTCCGCCGACCAGCCGCGCGATCTACTTCCTGTTTTTGAGGGTTTGCTAGCTCTGACAAACCTTGCTTCATACCCGCATGATGACTCTGCCCCCGAGCTCACTGTGCGGGAAGGGTGGTCTGCCGTGGAGGATCTGCTTCTGTCTGGCAATCCTCGAGTCCAACGAGCCTCGTGTGAACTGGTCTGTAACCTGATGACCTGTGAGTCTGGTGTCATCAAATTCGCCGATGGCTCCAAGGCAGCGGCTCAACGCCTTCACATTCTGCTGGCCCTGACCGACGCCGACGACTTCCCCACACGGCGAGCCGCCGGTGGAGCCCTTGCTATGCTGACAGACTTCGATGCCGCGATGGCCGCGATATTGGACCGACCACGGGGCGTGAACTTGTTACTCGGACTATGTCAGGAGGATGACGATGCCCTCGTTCACCGGGGCGTGGTCTGCGTACGCAATCTCACCTGCATCGCAACAGGTGACATCGGAACTCGCGCCAAAGCCGCCGTGAAAGCCGCTGGAGGGATTGAAGTTCTCACCGCATGTCTCAAAAAGACATCGAACCAAGCCGTGTTACAGGCCGGAGTGGAGGCACTGAAACCCCTGATCCAATAGTGGGCATACCACGTCCATTTGCTTTTTGCATCAAGTCATGCCCGTTGACTCCCGAGATCTCTTTTATGTTTCCTTTTGCATGCTTTGAGGCGGACCGGCTGATCCAGTGGAGTTTGCTATCTCTTTGCTTTCTTTTTTACTTTTTATGTTTGAGATGACCTTGTCTATGAGCACAGTTACGGTCTTAGCGATTGCTTTTTTAGGGCCGGATCAGGCGCCTGGAATTCGGCGCACAGAGTGCAAGGGGTTGCATATGGCTTTCAATAGAGAATTATGAATGAATGGTTATACCGCATCCTTGTGAGCACCTGACCTTCGGGAGTCTGTGGCGTCTCCGGGGTCACGGGGTCGCGTCTCCCTTTTAGGATTATCGTGGACTCATAGTACCTGACTCCTAGTATCTCCCTTAGCCTCATTCCATGCACCTTTTCCTTACGTCTCTTGGCCAAGCATGCTTCCAATAGGTCACGAGGCACAATACTTACCCCCTTCGGCCCTCTGCAGTATTAACGGCGCTCGTTGATTCGTCGACATGGTTACTAAGCATCATTCCACGTGCAGCTTCTTCACCCCGATTGATCGAGCTATGTAGGTGTTACTAACGTTAATTGAAGAATTGGAAATATACTCTTGGTCAAGAATGAAGTTCTCTTCAAAATCTCAAGATCTGATCCATCACATACTCTAAGCTCTGCAGTACCCCATTTACTTCAAAAGCCTAAACTGGATCGTACAAAGAAATCAAGGCAGCGTGACCTCCCACGGGCCCTAGACTAGGATAACATGGGACAAAAAAATAAGGGGCTTGCATACGTAACTCAGTTAGTATTCTAAATTTATAAGCTCACAGTAGCGAGAGTGTAGTCTATAAAGACGGTATGGGAGCCGTGGAGAGGGCCCCCGCGGATCGACAAATCATCATCAGCCCACTACGCACACCTTCACCTTCGACTGTCCGCTTGGCTTTTTCCGCCTCTCACATCACCTCCGTGGCCCACGCTCTTTAGCTCTCTACTCCCTCGATTCCACTCTACGTCAATCTCTCTCCTCGTCACCGCAATTCTCTCCACTGCCACAGCCCCCACTCAGACAGGTACAGTCAGGTGCACCTTCGAGCTTTGTCTCTTCCCGTCCTCTTCCCCTTCTCCCTTCTCACACCTCCTACCTCACTCAATGGCGTGGTTGATTCCCTCTCTTCCCTGCGTTCGACCGCTCACCTGATCACTTCCCACGACTCAGGTTGATCTCCCCGCGAAACCCTCCGATTGAACACCGTCGGAGGAATTGGAATATTGCAGATACAGCTTGGTGGAAACAAGAACAGAGAATTCGTTGAACTCAACATTTGATCTGACGTGCGAAAACCGCCAACATGAAGTTCGGCCGCAATCTGTCTCAATTTACCGTTCCCGAGTGGAGCGCTTCTTACATCAAGTATAAGGCCTTGAAGAAGCTTATCAAGTCTGCTGCTGAGCAAATTAAGGCGGGCCAGGAGGCTGATTTGGC